AAAACTTGAGTTCTACCACCAATGACATAGTAGTAATAGTAATCTGCTGCTATCAACAGGTTTCAGAAGTGGTCAAGAAAACCATATTGTGACCCTTGGTCCTGGATTCCCAGGGTAGGTAAAAATGATAGTTGTGGATTTTCAAATGTGGTCTCCTTAACGGGCCTCACATGAAAAATGTAATGCTCAGTGCTTCAGGTGCTTCAGACTCTGTTTGTTGATAATTGCTTCTGTCTAAGCAAACTTTCTTCGTTTCACATTGCATAGTGTTGTCCATCATTATTAGTCCAAGCTAGAGCAGAAAAGCAGGAAATAAAATGAAGCTTTATGGTAGAAATTAAAGTTTAAGGAAGGATTTGTGCTTGTTATAACTATTTCCTATTATACACTTGAAATCAGTTTATATGTATTGTAGTTTGGCAGTAATGTTCAGATTATAGCATCAAGTTAATTATAGAAGTGATACTAGTATTAGTAAAGATGGTAGTACAAGACTGTAATATCATATCTTCTTCCACTATACTAATCTTCTAATAACTTTCTGATATCCCAATCATCTTCTCCCAACTCTCCATATTGCTGGAAAACTTGATGACTAATTGATGACAGTACTGAGTATATTGACATGTAAAACTTATTAAGTTGTTCAAGGCTAGACAAACTGGCCACTATCTTGTCAATAATCCATCTTCTTAGTAATGGAATTTTATTACACAGACTTTTCAGCTTATAAAACTCAATTTCTGCTGTATGTATCACCTTTCATAATGAAAATCCAATGTCCAGCAATTCTGCAGTTCAACAGAAGCTCAGATTTAGTTTAGTTTGGTATGGAGCTCTATCTATCATAGTAAATATTTAAAGGACTGTATATCTTAAATGATTATGTAAATGTTTTTATTATGCGTAAGAAAGCCAAATTTAATTATACCAAGACACCTGCCATAAAAGCAATTAGCAGATATGAGAGTGTTTTTAGGAATATATGACAGCTGAAAATCTATGAATTTCTGAAATCCAGAATCAATTAAAAAGTTGACTGATGCTTTATTGATATATGATATTGACTATGTTTCCTCTGTATTTTGGAAATTGAAACTGGCTAAGCAGTTCATTCTAAAGTTGGAATAAAAATCTGTGATTTGTACGGTGACAAATGTTTTGTCCAAGTCTGAAAAGGAAATCCTTTTGCTTCATTTCAACAAGTTACATTACAGAATTTGTTATTTGCTATCGTCTTGCTTCTTTTGACAGATTAAACATCTTTCTAGTTTGGAGCTGGCTTCTACTACATGTATCCCCTTAGGCACCCTTCTTTAAACAACCTTTCTGAAAATAGGTCATTTGTCTGAAGATTGTACAGCGTGAAACCCTGAGTAATGATAACATATTTTTTTAGGTTTTGTTTTAATATTTCTGTATCATATATATACATATTTAAATAAATTGAAACTGTGTTTGATAAATCTTGACATGTTTTAAATCTTGAAATTTTTTTAAAATGGTATCTTGTAGTGTATTGATATGTTTATAAGAAACTGAGGTAATCAAAATGATGCCATGCCAAGATGATCTTCTCAAGGTAGCAGTCAGATATTTTTAGCTGTGATTTATTTTATATTTAAGATATCAATCTAGAGTACACCAGTATCGTATCTTACCTGATAAAGAAGGCAAATTATCAGTACAGGTATATACAGACATTTTTTAGTAGTTTTATTTAAAGTAAAAAATATTCATGCAGGCTTTAAATGTCAATAATGTATGCACAGTGTGTTTGTTGTCTAAAAAAGTCGAGCGATATTTACCAGACAATCATGAGTAACCAAATGCACACTAAAAATTACCACAATGTGCTGCTAGTCAATCGTTATTAGCGCTGCACTATTTGCTCTCCATATTCAGGCGTCTTTTGTAGTTTATTTAGATGATGTATTAAAATATTGATATATATGTTAAAACATTATTTGTTAAACTAATGTATAGGTTTTAATAAGCAGGAGCAGTGTTATTATTGAAAAGAATAATCAGAAAGCTCTTCTTGTTATTATAGTCTGAGGGTGACGTAAAACCATTAAAGTTTAACAATTTAGCTGAATTAATACAGGCGTATCTAATACGAGATGGTAATAATGGATTGGTGTATGCTATTAAAACACCAGTACCACCAGAAGGATTGGAAGGTGTTGAAATTGATTCAGGTAACTACATTAGATAACTAAAGACAATATTATGTTATTCTTCTCCTTAGTTTTTATATCCTCTATGTTTCAACGATTAATACTGTCAAACTCAGTTGAAATGAGGAAGTACTTAAGGTTCTCATGTATCTGGTCCATAAATGTTTGAAGATTTTATATAGTTGATTGATCTTCTTTGGTTTGTACTTTGTAAGTACATCTAAATTTAAGATGTCTAAACTAAAACTAATAGTATTTAAACAAGAATTTTGTCTAAATGTCAAAAATTCATTTTCAGAAGAAGAAGAAAATGAATTTGACCTTGATACCAGCCTTGATGAACATTTTGCTGCGTTGGACAGTGAAGCAGCCATAGCTAACAGAATTCATACTAAATCATTTAAATATGGATTTTTAAGTAATTTTGCTAGATTAGATTTATCATGGTATGAAGTATTTTTACTGTACTTATATCTTCTTAGTATAATGTTTTTTATATCACATATTATGCTCTGCAAGTGAAATTGCTCATGTATATAAACTCATGACACTTATTTGAAGTCATCAGTATCCTGGAATGTCATTTTCTTCCATGACACTCTTTGATGTTAAAAGATAAAGCTCAACTTGCACCACATTTGTCTACAATTTGTAGGATTGTAGATTGTATTCCTACTAATATTATAAAAGATGATATTTCTATTTAATAGTTGTGATGGTGAATTTGTAGAAGTATTAAAGAATTATATTGATTGTGGAATGGAAAAAGATGCTGTCAATATAAGAACTCTAAATTCAATGCCAGAATTTTCTCACCTCATTCGAACTGCAGCTAAAGGACTTCAACGGTTTGTTTTATCACTATATCTCATGCTTCAAATACCTTAGAACGTTACTTCATATCTAAATACAGATTTTAATCTAAAATTATGACTTAATTTTTGTTTACAGTACTCTGATAGAGAACATATTGTTTTGATTTGTATGATAATATTCTATTATTATTATGACATGTATTGTATAAGATATACTATTTCAAAAAGTTAAAGCTATGGTATTATGAATATTGAAATTTGATTTGTTTTTTTTTTCTAGAGAATTAGATGTATTTTTATTAAAGTTATCATTATGTAGAGATTTATTAACACCAAATGATGAAGAAGGAACAAGACCTATGATAAATGGCCATGATGTAAGATATTTTATTATATAAATATTTTTATTGTATTGTAGATAGGTAAATGTAAAAACTTGTATAAGAGTTGTTTAAAAAAATGCATTTTGAGAGATCAGTTTACATTACAATCAACTACTATGTATTAGTCCTCAAAGTCAGTTGTTGATATATGAAAAATAGAATGCTGAATAGTATAGATTAAATCTCTATATACTTTATTTACAGGAATCTACCTCAATCTTTCAGTTTTTATCTAAAAAGTTATCTTTTTGTACTACAGAGGTTCTCAACTTAGAGAAAAAGGTAAAGAGTTTTTTTTTTTAATTATATTTACCAATTGTACATATAGAACTATCAACCAATTTAGTGACAGTAAGCAGGATATGATAGTATTATGATGGTAAATATTTAACATCAATTATGAGGTCACAAGATATAAATTGATTGATTATTAATTATAATTACTGCAGGCTATATTAATTAGGTCTAGTTTAATTAACTGTACTTCAATGAAATTTGTAAATAATTGTACTGATATACATGTCTGTGTGATATTTTCTACACATTACTGTTGTGTTGATAGTGAAAGCTGCTAGAAATAACCAGTGAATTGTAGAAATGAGACCTATAAGCAGAAAAAGGAATTTAGGTGTCAAAAGGTTAAATGTAGTCTGTGATTTCCAGGCAAGTGAAGTTGTTCAAGAGTTACCTACAGCTCAAGCCAATGGATCTAGTCCAGATCAATACAGTCCTGATGGAACCTTGTCACTTACACCAAAGATAAAAAGGACCAGTTTAATACCTTTATCAACTTTTGAGGTGAGTTTTTTTAATTTTCTACAACAACTACATGCATGCAAATAAAAAAAATGGACAATTGGGATATGTGTATGTATATCTTAGCCTATAGCAGAGTTCAACAATTTCAACTGCACTCTTATATGAACTGAAATTTAAAGAGCTGTAGAATTTGGAAAACTGTATATTATATGTGAATTTAAATCTATGTGTTTCAGTGTCATTTTGCCTGTAACAGTTTCTCTGTCATATAAAGAACTTAATTGTAATATATTTCAGGTGAAAATGTGTAAATCAGGTAAATTCTCGGCTAAACTTACATTAACAGTGGATATCAAGGCTGGACGATTCTTTGCTGTTAAACCATCGAAAGATTTCCTTGATTCCAGCAACACATTCACTCATGATAAAAGTAAGTTAACAATCTATTTAAATTATGTGCTTTCAAGTTAACAGAGTTTTTACTCATTGTGATTTAATTACAGATTGTCCATTAATATAAACTAATAACATGTAGAACTCCTTTGACATCACAAATTACATTAGACTTTGAAGCAGATTATTAATGAGCCTACTTATAAGGTTAAGATACACAAAAAATTACCTCTACTGCTTCTTCAACATATATTAACTTTGTTTTATTTCTACAAAATATCTAGCATGATAGGACAAAGGGATCTAAGCTGATTTCAATAAGGAAGTATTTAAAAATGGTGGACTAATATTGAAATGCACCACTTATGCAACAAAAGTACTATTTGAACCAATTGTAATATTATTAACATAATTGAATTAAAAGGAAATATTATTGTAATAATTGAATAATTTCCTGTTATAATAATTTAGTTTTACAGTTAGTTAAGAATACATCAGATGGTAGTAAACTAGATGTTATTATACAAGGTAAAAAGAAATATACATATCAGTTTGACAGTGCTCATACTAGAGAGATGTTCTGTTTACAAATCCGTCAGATGAAAAGTATGCATTCCACAGAGAAAGATGTTGATCAGATTTCAGTTTTTATTGGTACTTGGAATATGGGTGAGTAGTACATTAAAACTATTTCTGTTTACAATAGATCTAGTTTTGTATGAACACATATTGTTATTGTGCTGTATTCACTTGATTTTCAGTAATTCTTTTAACGGAAATGGAAGACTAGATGAAAAGAGCTTTAGAATAGATTTTTCATACTAACTTCTGGTCAGTAATCATCAATGAAATAAGATCAATATTAAGCTATTCCTTTTAATCTTTTTGTACATATAAAAATTTATGGAAGAAGAGGACTACAAATCAATGAAATTTCTGAAATTGCAATCTGTTATCCTACTGTTTATTTATAATTTCCAGCCAAATCAGGACCTGATCAGACATTAAAACATTGGTTAAAATGTAATGGTGCTGGTAAAACATTAGGTCCTGTTTTATCTAACATACCTCACGATATATATGTTGTTGGTACACAAGAAAGTGCTTTAAATGATAAAGATTGGACTAATACAATCAAGGCTTCTTTAAAGGCTACCCTCAATATTGATGTTGATGTAGTGAGTATTCATAGTATATTTTTCAGTCTATTCTCATACCACCCTGGGGCGAATTGGGAAGGGAAGGGGTGATATGAGGGGAAAATAGGAATAATTTAGGGGCCAAATGGTAAGGGGTGTATTGGAGACGTACAATAGTGGAAGACACTCTATATTTCATTATTTAAGACTTTGTAAGAAAATCTACCTGAAATATCTTATCACTTGTCTTAAAAAGTGTCCATTGAGCTTGACATAATATTTTAAACTTCATTAGTTTTTTTTACACCAAATATCTGAGAAATGTTTATAAATCAATGACTGATAAGGGATACGTTCTTGAATTAGTATCAATCATTTGAATCAACAATGTTAGCTAGAAATCTCATTATGTTTTATATTTCAGCTGGAAACATGTACATTATGGGGAATCAGAATGGTGATATTGATAACTCCCTTGTATAAAAATAATATAAGTCATGTTCAAAAATCTACAGTCAAAACCGGCATTGCTAATACTCTTGGTAAGACTCTAAACTTGTGTATATTCAAACTAAAGAAGAAACTGAATGTTGATACATTATTGTATGGATTTTGATGTTACTGATCCACAAGCATGATCTTAATATTGATACTTTCAAAGGACAAAACCTTATTTTGGCCACCTGAAGCAGATGGAAGAATAAAATGATATATCTAGTTCCTCTGCAATGAGACCATGAATGATGAAGACATGCATTTTGACTCATCTTCTATTTTGCATCTTGAAAGTTGAAGACTACTTGTTATTTAAAGGTCACTTTACTTCTTTATTGCATTAATGAAACTTGCCTGTAGACTCTATGAAAATCAATGAAACAAAGTCAGGTTCAATATCTATTCTGTTATATTATACAGGTAACAAAGGTGCTGTAGGTATTTCATTCCAAGTTAATGGTACACCATTTTCTTTTGTATGTGCTCATCTTACTTCTGGTGATGAAAGGTGTTCAAGGTTTGTACTAGTATGAACTTTGATGTCCATTGTCCATTTTCAAAAGACATAATGAAATATTGTGGCAAAAAAGGCATACAATTTTTAACACCAATTGATAACATGCTATATTTTGATTCGAAGTAAGTTTGATATAATTTATATATATAATTTGAAGGCAGTCAAAATAGACATATTTTAGCTATGGTCAGACATAACTTGCAAATTGTTCTAAGTAATTTTACCTATTAATTCTTCCTATTATTGATTGCTATATTTCATCTTATTCTATTGTAGGAGGAACCAAAATTTTCGTGATATATTAAAAGGTTTAAATCTTGGCCCTAAAAATATGGAATCATTTGATATAACTCATAAATTTCACCATGTTTTCTTTTTCGGTGATTTAAATTATCGAGTTTCTGATAAAGTAGATGTAAGTCTATCTCAGTTGTTCTTTTTATTTTATTATGATGTTTAATTCATGCAAAATATGTTCTTCTGATTTGGCAGTCAATGTTTGAATTTGCATTTGTGGAAAAGAATTAAATCACTTTCAAGTCAATTACTGCATTAAGAATTAAAGTTAGAAAAAGATCTGTTAGAGTGAGATTGAGATTTTAAAATTCCAATAAAAGCACTGGCCTAGGTCACAAAACAGAGATAACTTTTGATTATCATAAGGTGTTTTTTAGTAACAGAACTAACTGTTAGTAAAATTCATATAAGAAAGAACCGATATAGCGGTTTCTGTGTTGGATAGTAACCTTCATTAAAAATTTACTCATAGCTGACCTTCATGAATGAACAAATTCTAAAGAGGCATAGATTGATGTTAAATTTTACTTTATGCTTTCACTATAGTATACTTAACTCATGTCTTTCTAATAAAGGTTAATGATAATTATCTTATATGAGCAGTGTAATGTTGTTTTATTGCTGTAAAGGTCATCTTCATTCTACAAAAATGTTGATAGAACTCATTGTTATTTATGATATGAACCTAATATTGATTATTATATTTCTATAATATAGGTTGTATTGAAGAAGGCAGAAGAAAGGGATATTAGTTATTTATTAGAGAAAGATCAACTACGTAAAGTTCAGTTTGATAAGAAAGCCTTCTATACATTCAGTATGTTCATCTTATATCAAAATTATACTTTTATCTCTAGTCCTTACTCTTAAATAGAGCAAATTCAAGAGATTTACATCAAAATTATACTTTTATCCCTAGTCCTTACTCATAAATAGAGCAAATTCAAGAGATTTAAATGATAATGATAAGATGATTATTGGCATTTAATAAACTCAATAAATGTGTTATGGTAATTATTCATATTCAATGTCTTGTTTCTAGATGAATCTGAAATAAGTTTTATGCCAACATATAAGTTAGTCAGATATAAGGAGGGCTATGAATATGATTGGAAGAAAATCAAGAAAACTGGAGTAAGTAATTTATTCTTTCATACATTAGAATGGACTTAAATGACCAAATACCATATTAAATTAATTGAAGATATCTGTTTAATGATTTGGAATTAAAATATTACATGAATTGGACTTATCTGAACCTAAAGAAGCAGGGAAGAAATTGTAAAGCCAATTCCACTTCAAATATATTGTGTAAGCAACAAAAAATCTTTTTAACTTTAAATAATGTGCATCCCTTATTATGGATATTTCTAAATGTCAGAGTTGGTATATCACAGATACCAATACTCATATATATCTTCTATTTCAGGAAAGGATCAACAACCCTTCTTGGTGTGATAGAATTTTATGGCATTCCTTCCCTGGTACTTTCATAGAAAATACTGCATATGGTAAATTATTTGATAATAAATTATTCAGAAGATTTTCTTTGTGTAATTTTTGAAAGCTAAAGATGAAATGAGACTTGCACTCAATTTGAACTTTTGACTCTTAAGAGTCAAAGCATTTGAATAATTTGTGTTTTTCTGGTTTTGCCTTCATTTACCCTTTGAAATAATCTGTATTAAAAATTTAAAGTGATTGTATTGTTGATATAGGTTGTGTAGAAAATATGTTAAACAGTGATCATAGACCAGTGTTTGCTTCATTTAATGTGGGTGTGGCTTCTCAATTTGTCCAGAGTCGAACATCACTGTCAGAGAAAGTGTCCTGTAGAATTGTATTTAACAGAATAGAAGCTCAGGTATTGATATCATTTACAATGACTTTTCACTACAGTAGACAAAGCACTAGCATTGTCCAAATAAATTTATATTATTTATACATAATAGAAATGTGGTAAAATATTATTATTAGTGACCAAGAGTAGAAATACTAATTAGGTATTTGAATATTTATGAATTGATATATACATGTAATTGTTTTGTTTTTCAGGTGAAGACATGCTGTCGACAATTTTTCATATTAGAGTTTTATTCAGCATGTCTTGCTGGTTAGTATTTCATTTTCAATTTATATTTATTACGAGCAATATGATCTTGGAATTAATTGACTATTAAATGATGTGTGTCAGTTTTTTAAGGATATCGAAAAAATTGTTCAGAAATTAAATCATAAAACTAAACACAACATCATTTGAATTATATGTTCTTCTATTTTTTGACTGATTCATATTATTACAGATATAATTTGTTGTGAATCGAACAAGGCCTTTTCTGAAAATAAAACTGGTTTTTATTCATGTCCAATTTGGTGCAAAGAGAATCTACCAGAGGTAAATATACATTGAAACTGGATAATCTTATCTCTTACACTATGTTAATCTGAATATGGATCTAGTAGTCATGATGTGTATCAGAAACTACAATAAAGACATCATAGAACTGATATGCTAGTTAGTAGCATGTAGAATAAATCTCACATTAAACTAAAAAAGTTGTTCATGTATCTGGTTGAAATGTACTAATTCATAATGCATTAGAGGAAGATCTTTTGAGTGATATGAGATAAATTAGATGCATGTTGTTCATATTTATAGTTTACTATACATTTACCAATATTTGGTTTGATGTCTTTTAGTTACGTCCATTATTTGGTGATCAAGAATATTTAGAAGAACAACATATTGTTATAGCAGTTAAGAGTATGGGGGCTGATAACGAATCATATGGTATGTATGGCATTGCCCGTCTTCATTAGCATAAGATGCTGCTAGGATGTAAAACACCATTTCATTACAAACAATAGGAACACAGGCATAAACTGTCAGCTTTTCTCAAACTCAGACGATATCAAACTGAATTAGAATGAAAATTAAGTTTCTACATTCTAGGTGAATGTGTTATATCTTTGAAGAATATGTTTGATAATGATGCTCATCATTTTGATTCTGTCTTAACCCATAATGGTGAAGAAACAGGCCGAATCAAGTAAGAATATTTATCTATATTATTTCAAACCATTGAATTCTCCATTTTAGTTTTAGTTTTACAATAAGTATCTTATTATATTGCAAGTATATTTTTATAGTGCATGAATAGTTTTATACTGCAAGTATAGTTTTTTATACTGCAAGTATAGTTTTATACTGCAAGTATAGTTTTTTATACTGCAAGTATAGTTTTATACTGCAAGTATAGTTTTATACTGCAAGTATAGTTTTTTATACTGCAAGTATAGTTTTATACTGCAAGTATAGTTTTTTTATACTGCAAGTATAGTTTTATACTGCAAGTATAGTTTTATACTGCAAGTATAGTTTTAAACTGCAAGTATAGTTTTATACTGCAAGTATAGTTTTTTATGCTGCAAGTATAGTTTTATACTGCAAGTATAGTTTTATACTGCAAGTATAGTTTTTTATACTGCAAGTATAGTTTTATACTGCAAGTATAGTTTTATACTGCAAGTATAGTTTTTTATACTGCAAGTATAGTTTTATACTGCAAGTATAGTTTTATACTGCAAGTATAGTTTTATACTGCAAGTATAGTTTTTTATGCTGCAAGTATAGTTTTATACTGCAAGTATAGTTTTATACTGCAAGTATAGTTTTATACTGCAAGTATAGTTTTTTATGCTGCAAGTATAGTTTTTTATGCTGCAAGTATAGTTTTATACTGCAAGTATAGTTTTTTATACTGCAAGTATAGTTTTTTATACTGCAAGTATAGTTTTATACTGCAAGTATAGTTTTATACTGCAAGTATAGTTTTTTATGCTGTAAGTATAGTTTTATACTGCAAGTATAGTTTTATACTGCAAGTATAGTTTTTTATGCTGCAAGTATAGTTTTATACTGCAAGTATAGTTGTATGTTTATTTTTATATTGCATGAATAGTTTTATACTGCAAGTATCTTATCTATATTGAAAATATCTTATAATATTGTAGAGGTGAAATGAAACTTATCCTGGGTTCATCACAGAATAAATCCAGCAAATCCAGAAAAACGTATGGTATGTTATCTTTTAGAATTTAAAATTCTCAATTTTTACGTGAATTTTGTTTTCAAATAAATAAATGTTTTCTTTTATTATGAGTTTGTTGTCACTGAAGGTTTTTGTAGTCACTGAAGTATGGCATTCTTGAGACAACCTGGATCTTGTATTTGGTCTGAACTTATAGACAAGTTAATAATTGTGATATTTTCTATTTTTAGAACTGGTAGCTTTAGATACAGAATATCATGATCCAGAAGAATGGTTACCAGATACACCTTTCTTTGATAAACGAACTGAATCTAATGGAGGGTTTAATTCCAATCGTTCATTTTCTCCATTACCCACAACCAGGGGTGTTTTAACTTCAGATGATGTGTTCATTGGTAATATTGTCTCGAACAGTGGAAGTGATAGTGATTGGTCCACGACTAGTAGTACTGTGAATAAAACAACCAATGGAATGACAGGATCTGGTAGTCCTGTGGCTCCAGCTCGTAGAAATAAACCTATTATGGGACAATCGAGTCTACAAGCATCTCAGAGACAAGTTATGCCTGTTGTGTCTACATCCAATCCAGTGATAGTGAAATCTCTAGACTCACCACCAGTGTTGTTAAATAATTTCCCTTGTGTTCTATCTTCGGCCCCAATGTCTTCGCCATCCTATGTTAATGTTAATGTTGGTAAAGAGTTACCTCCCCCATTACCACGCAAAACCAAACCATCAATAGTAAGTCTTTTGATCAATTTCATAAATTTGAAAGGCTTCAAAACAAAAATACCAGATGCGTAAATTCCATTTTGATTTTGTACTTTTTTCTCTTGATGAGAGCATCAAAAACTATGCTTAATATTTTCTAATAAATATTTTCTATTTTGTAGATTGATAAATTAGAAAAGAAACCAGCTTATGCTGAACTCATCAAACCAAAAACAACTTCAGAATGGTTGACAGGACTTGGTCTTGAAGAACATATTAAATCTTTCCAAAAAAGAAGATTAGATACCATGTCTCAAGTTTTAGATTTGAATATGTCTGACTTGTTAAAACTAGGAATCCGTAATACTGAGCATTGGAATAGAATACAGAAAAGTTTACATGAAATGAAATCTAGCGAGAACTAATTCAGTGAAAAGGATACCCAGAATATGTTTTTAATTCAAATAAAATTAAAATTATCAGAATGCTTTGTCCATGGACTGTATTTAAGGTCACTCATTCTGGACTGTGGTTTTGGTCTGCATAATCCATGACAAACTACCGTAATTTAGACTTGTTAATAGTTTATCTCAATTGAAATTTGAAGGGAAATGCTAGCTGTGAAATTGCTATAGCCTCAGCTTTTCTATGAAAAAAACTTTATTTACCAATCAAAGTAAAAACAATAAATATTTTTGATAATATTTGTATAACTGTGATTTTTTTTTATATAACCAACGAAATAGTGTAGAATTAGTATTGTCTGTTTTAACATTGTTATTTGTTAATCATGTATTCTATGTAAGTAATTTCTATATTCTGTAACTAATTACAAAGATAACAGACTTTTAGTTTTTATCATCAGTATTTTGTTGTTTTATGGCAAAGGACTACCTTACACTTAGTATTATATGTAAAGATCTGAAAAACTTTTTTAAGTTTCAATCAAATGAGTTCAATATTATGGTTTGACAAGCTTTAATATGTCACCACATCTCTCTATGTTGACTTATATTGTCTGCAATCATGTCCATCTATGTACATTTCCTCTGAAATACTCTACAATGTGTATTTTTTCAACTGATTAAATAAAGACTTGGTAAAAAATTGGGCGGTGTTAGGCATAATCTACTATCTTTGTTATAGTATTATTGATGGATATGATAGAAGCCATAGATGAATATCATCTTGTATTTAGAATGTGAATATTTAATTCTATGTAGTATACAATATATTAGTTCAGAAGAAATGTGTTCATTTTCTAAAATTTATTAGAAAGTGATAAGAAAATACAGTTATACTAATGTATATAATTTTAACCAAAAATAACATATGGCACTAAGATTGTTAAATTCCTATTAAGAATAGTAATGTTCAAAATTAAGAATTAGCCTTTTTATTACCTTTAGAGATTGAAGTTTTAGTAGATACTATTTTTAGTACATTGCAATATAAGTAGATTTACTTAACATACATGAAGAGAGAAATATAATGTGCATATTTATATGTTATATAGGTTTTCATTGTATATTTTGTTTTTGTTAACATTCCCATAGTTATAATCAGACCTAGTTTATATTTCATCTGTTTTGTTTTAAAATGGAAACTAACGAAATAAAATGCTTTAATTCACATCACGTATCATTTCTTCTGTATCTCCCGTATTTGAACCAGAATGCCAGGATAAAGGACAAGGTAAATTTGCTTGAAATTTTATTATCATATAAAACAGTCTGATAATGAAAACATTTTCTTTACAGTTCACACAAATATTCCATGCAATACATACTGGTACACATGATGAAATGAAAAACCAGTATGAGAATTCGAAATCTTAGTGTCATACATATTTTGATTAAAACAAAATCCAGTCAGTAACTTAATATACCATAGAGAATTTTAAGAATGGTGGTAAAAGTTTCATATTCTTAAACATGCACACATTACATTGTATATTTCATTTCAAAGCATAATGTATATAAATGTAAAATGATGTCATACATATCCATTATCCAGCAACTTAAAAGGCTTAAAACACCAGCAATCAAGTTGATATATTTTTAAAACCATTTGTGTTAATAAAACGTGTGGTGTCTTTGCATAAATCTTTCCTCTTCATACCAGTTGACTCAGTTATAGAATAGTTCAGAATATAGTCATCTTATTCTTGTAAAATAGGATTCTTACATTCTCTGCTTCTTTCATTCTAGGTTATTTCTTTGAAATAATCTTAAGTTCAATGGCTGACCAAGTTATAACTTTAACTCTACAGAGGTCTTAAGATTCACTATTCAATGAGGTTGTTCTGGCAATGAATAACTTCTTATCATACCCTGAGCCTGAGCTTGTCTTAAATGTAAATGTTCATTTTTCAATTTATCTAATTCTGTTAATCGACTTTTCACATGTTCTATTCTATGAAAGGCCATTTGGAGATCTTTTTGTGCAGCATAACACGAACCTTCATGAGGCTGACCTATAAGGGAATAAAAATTATAACAATAAATAGTCATAATGGATGGAAAAGATAAAAAAAAAACAGTCCCCCCCTGCCATGACTTGGACCATTAAAAGCATAGCCATACTAATTTCCCATGAAAAACAGACACTGATAAAAGTTGTATTATTGTATAATATTATGTTGTAGCTACACTTGCAAACACCAAACATTAAAGTTCCAGTCTTTTCACTGCCATACACATCCATATACCTACCAGTAGAGACTTGTGTTAAATAATTTATTTGTTGAGAAAGACCAGTTTCTATGTCTTGTAATGTTTTTAAGAAGGCTGTGGTGTGCTGTTCTGTTTGTTTTGACACTGGTTTGTCTTTAGATAATTCTTGAATAGCATGACCTAAAAGAAAATTCAAACATTTTTTAAGAAAATAGCTTATACTTGTATTGTAACTGACAAAAAAACCCAAATTATATGGTTTTATTTATCCATAAGGTTATCAAACCTACTCTACAGTTGAAGAAATAATAGGCCTAATCAACAATGAATAGTAAGATTCTGAAGACGGGTTGACTTTAACAACTAAATTAAATTGATATTTCTATTATATTTGAAGTTATAGGTTTACTTAACACAGATGGCGATTAAGATTAAAATCCAACTCTTGTAAACACTGGCCATAGCCTCTCCTATGTGACGCACTTGTACAAAGGGTTTAAACGTGCTCCATTTCGGTCATAGGCCGCACCAAAAGTGCCAGAGACTAGTGGAAAGCCGGTCAGATAGGCACACTAAATACCTGAAACTGAGAATATCAAATAATGCTTTTTAACCGTTTAATAAAACCGTTCTATACCTGCACTATTAATGGCAGCAAAAATGCTAGATTCAATTCTATCTAGTGAAACTATTTTGTCCCTAGGTCCTCCAGTCGCCGCCATGTTGAGTCCGAATCACTCTGCTGGTTCTCTGGTGATTTGATTCAACAGTGAAACACTTTCTCAAAATTCTATTAAGTTATAAAGGCATCTCAAGATTATAAACATTATTTTGTGGCAAAAGAGGGTTTACTGGATTTTTTCGATCAAAAATAGAAATCAAACCATATGAAAATTTCGTTTCTTTTAATAATTCATGCTGCATCTGTACGTTCCCAGCTGTTAATTAGGTCAGTTGCAGTAAAGATGGCCGATATGAGCCACCTGTCGATGGTGGGCTTGATTGTTGGCTTATTATTTTTAACATGGAGGGATTTAATATCATCCCAAGAAACCATTAGTCCTAATAGGCAAAAGGACATTAAGGCCCCGAACTTAGTGCAATTTGCTGGGCCAACGTTGAAATTTCTGTACTGGTACGTATTGTCATGAATATGAGGATGGAAATGGAATGTTGGGTGACAAGCAGACAACACTCCACCAATCATCATCAATTCAATAACATTAACGGATTATTTAACAATGTCATAGTCAACTAGTCCATTGTTTCACTAAAATTAATGAACATGAAATTCATAATCATCTAGTCCATAACTGGCAGTCTCTAACCAACCTCTGATGGCTGTTTTGGACAGGCTTAAAAAGAAACCATTTTTTTTTTAGCTAGGGAAGGTGCTCCTAAGATTTTAAAAGACAAAGCAGTTTGAATGATAGGCTACACTCCATTAAATCAATGAATTTTGATGATTGATTCTACTTGAAATGTATTTCAATGTTTTTTTCAGTGTTTCCTGAGGGTATAAAAGGGCCTTTGACCAATATGCTGAGGCCATTCATCAACGCTTTCCTGGTATAACCATTGAGGGTGGCCAATATCCAGCCCCTTCAATGAGAGCCTTGATTGCACAGATTCTCAGCATAGCTAAGCTTGTTATTATAGGCTTTGTGGTCAGCGGTCATAACCCCTTTACCCTTTTAAATATCCCTACTCCAAGTGTGTATGAATGGGCAACCCAGAATAAGGTACATGTAAAATTCTTACTAGGATTGAAGGAAGTTGATTCTCAGCATTAAAAACAGGAATCACAAAAGCAATGCATCAAAATATTGGAATTAAAGATTGAAAGCAAATTTTGATTTCTGAACATGGAAGGACTTTTGTATTGCAATGTAGAATTTGTAAAATCTGTAAAAGTGGACAATTTAATATAGTTGAATTGATTATGCCTTTAATTTAGTAGAGATGTAGTAATTCTAAGTAACTTTTAACTTTTTTTCTTCAGATTTATGCGTGTTTAATGGTATTTTTTATAAGTAATGCTATTGAAGGTCAATTAATATCAACTGGTGCATTTGAAATATCATTTAATGGTAAGGATATATATTTCAATATTCCCGAAAATGGTTAAATTGAAACATACTAAAAAGAGACTTGATATAGCACACAACACACTATATAAGAGGTTTAATTACCTTAATTTTATTTATCAACATGGGTTTAAAACTACGATTCCTGAGCATTAAAGAGGAAATGTGAATTATCTTAATGCCATATAGAGAGATTTAAATATTTTTTCAACAAAATTATTGTGTTAACATACCATCTTACTTTCTTACATTTTGTTAGTACAGTATAAACTGTATTAAGAGACCACTCGAGGGAATAATCCAAAAAGGCCTCTAAAAGGAGGTAGTTTTTTAGAAAGAGAATTGGGTCAGAATTAACACTAAAATTATTTTGTTGGCATGGCCATTTTATATCTTTAGACTGATATGATTAATTATCGATTGAATTAATTTAACTGTAAAACTATGTGACGTTTCTACAACGGAGGTAAGAGAGAATTATTATGGTTGCATAATACATGTTGATGGTCTATTAATGAAGGTGCTCGCTTATCATTCGTCATCATCATTATATCGCATAAGCAGAATTAACTGTGTATGAAACTCAAACATGCAAGATTTTAAGAACTAGTTCAAAATATACACTTTAATTTTCATTTTCAGATGTACCAATTTGGTCCAAATTAGAAACTGGTAGAATTCCATCCCCTTCTGAAATGTTTCAAATACTTGATAATCATATGAGGCTAAATAATCAATCCTAGTTTTTATATTACAACCAATCAGGTACTAGTATATATTGATTTGATATATAGATATTTTTCCTTCTTGATTTGAAAGTCAAGTCTCAAATAATTCTGGACATTTTTCAACCTGGTTAGTGTTGCGGGTTGCAGGGGCATACAGGAAAAGATGTAAAGTCATGTGGACAGTAAACAGAGGTCCTGTATGTGCAATCATCGAGTGATAATTGGAAATAAAAAAAAAAGTTAACAAGTTCAGTCTAGAATTGTTATGTATGAGCTAGGATGTAAAACTCTTTTCCATTTCTATTCCATTTTTATGAATTGTTCAGACAACAATGAAATCATTTCAACATCTCATATTTTTTAGATTATGACAGAATATATTCAGTGGTATGATATTTTGGAGAAATGGTCGTATGACGAATGAAACCTAAAGCAGTGTAACTGACGGTTTTATTCTGAAGTTTATCAATTTCCATCATATAATAAAACTTTATCAATATCTCCTTATAATATGATTGGTTGTCTACACATACATGTAGAAATCTTATTCTATTTAAATACAAATTGTTTTTTGTAATTTTTGTTAATTGTTTACCAGTACATGTATTGTGAATGCGTAATCTTTAAGATGTATATATTTATGATTTATCTCATTTATCATGTATTAATCCCTTTTGTAATAGGCATTTAAATGAAACTGTTTTTCTTGTAGCTCTGTTGACTATTAACAGTGCTTAAAATCTTGTCACTTGCTAGGTTATATGGGTTCTTATCCAAGTCAAAAAGTGAATATTTAAGATATTATTTTATCCATTGGTATATGGGTACAAAGAGATATTTGTCATATATTTTTTTGCATGGAATAAGCTGATCAAAGGAATCCTCAGATCTTAGTAAAGTGTTGTCATTTTTTCTTTAATTAAAGGTTTATCAAAGTTTGACCAGTATAAATACTGATAATCCATCAAAATGTTTATATAGCTATTCATATAAACTTGTGTAAGATATTGTAATGAACAATCAAACTAGTTGATAACTATGTATATAATTTTGTCAGCTCAATATAATCTATCTTTTAAATCACTGTGTATTTTCTTGGTCATATTTTATCATAATTTCATGAAATAAATGCACTTCTTCAGACTTTCTTTCTCAAAATATCCATCAAGAGATTGTAAAAATATCAAATGATTGCTGATGGTTAGAAGCTACTTACTGCAACTTTTCAATGCAGAAGGCCAAGACTAGAAAAGTGAGGTATATTTTCCTAAAACAGTATCTGAAATGGTATACAATATACCACCCAATCATTTCATTTTCTGTTTTGAAAATGGTAATGATGGACTCACTTTCTTTTGAAAAAAGACTTTTTAATCAATTGACAGTTTGCAGCAACCTGATATTCTTAATCTGAACCTTAATAGAAATTGAGATAACTCTACCTAAAACAATCCTTTCTTTTGTCAAATTAGTGATCTGTGATTTTGTGTAGGTTTTTTTAGATTGGGTTGGTTAAGTCCATCAAGAATCATTGGTTAAAACCAAAACTCTTTGGTTTTAGAAATTCAGAAAATTCCCAATACAACCATAATTGTTAAAAATATTAGACACTAGAGATTAGAATCTAATGAAGACATATTCAGATATTCTGTTATTCAGATGTAGTGATGTAGTCCGAATCGTGTGAGAAATATTTGAACATTTCGGATTTTCCATATGTAATCCGAAACTCGTTTCTACCAACCCCTATAAGTAAAATGGAGAAGTATAAAATGTCTCGTGAAATACATAAGTTTCGGTAAATGGCTTTAAGACAAGACTGGGGAGACAACAGAAGTCAAAATAGCAAACAAACACATGATTCGTGAATGAAGAATGCGACCGACAAGACAGCAGGTTTCGTTCCATACATCGATGTTTCGGTTTGTGTCAATTGATTTGCATAGTTATTATGTCCTTGAAAACTTTTCATTTTATTCTTTCAAAATCAACCCAAAATTTCATATTTGCAAGCCTTTGAAAACTATACATGGTCCGACAAGTCTTGGAGTAATGACTGTCAGTCAATACTCCAAGGACAAGTAGACTGCCTTTTAACATGAGTTAAAAATTTGAGGGTAGCCGGACTCGTGTGTCGAGGAGAAATGATCAACTCATCACTGATATTACGATGCTATTGAGCTATGCCTGAGTGAAAGATTAATGTAACTCCTTTGAGAAAGAAAACATTAGCTCTTCATTCCAACCATAATCATCTACGAAGCGCTGTTTTTTTCTGTAAATATGACGTATTAAAGTTTAACAGTTTAACAATGTTCTGGTGTGCATGGCCTTGGACATTATTAAGAGGAATGACTTTGTCATGGTTTGATTTGAGTTTAGATTTCATTCCAATTAATTATAAAGCCTATTTTGACATAATTTTATTTGCCTACAGTGATTTCAATTAGATTATAATTTTCAGTTAATAATAGTTATAGTTATTTTCAGTTGAAAATAGTATCTTAAATGAACGCAAAAAAAAAATGTATTTAACATACCAAGTTCAATCGTCTTTGAAAAGAAATGTCTTTGCCTATGAGTGGGGATGTCTAATTTTACTGATTATTTTTGTAAGAGTTGGAAAAACTCCTTCTTAATGGTACTGTTATAAATGTCTAAACACACCGTCCCATTCAAATTTGACAGAGGGTTATTTTTTCAGCAAAAATTTCATTTACGTACAAATGTATGAAGACAGCAGTAATATTATTCAATGTGATTTATCTTACTGTTATAGGAAGGACATGCTGCTATATTCTTAAAATGAAGCTCCCAAATGTAGCGTTTCGTGTAGATGACACTGGTGAAATTCCTGATGGAGCTCGGGTCATGACCAAAGATGAGGTATACAATTACCAAATGCAAAAAGTTATAAATTATAAACCCAGATCTGACATGTAAGTTTGAATTATCAAGATGAAATTGAAATATTACAATGTTTTTTAAATAGCATTTATTGGCAAAGAATTCTTTATTGTGACACATTAGAATTTATTTGAAAAAGTCTGACAAACTGTTGAATTTTGATATCAATAAATAATTTGAAAATCAAACTAGTTTTATATTCTTTTTTAACCAGATAAAGTTTATAAAACAGTGATTACTCCTGCTTCTGATATGAATACGAAAACCATTCTTCATATTAAAAACAAAGACCATAATAGTGTTGAAAACTGGAAGTTGTAGGTGTCATGTAATTTGTTTTGCTCCTTGCCCTGCAAAAGTGGTTTTTCTCTCCTTTAGATCTTAATTTAATTTCTATTTGCACTCAGCCAAAAATATCTTTATTCAAAAATGTATTTTTGTACCAACTACTACTTGTAGTTAATTTCATTTCTTGTTTTTCCAGGTACATGATTTTAAAGGCAAATGACCTTGTTGCTTGTGGATCATTCTTGTCTACAGTAGGAGTAGTGTCAATATTTCGCAATGTATTTAAAGTACCTTTTACTAAAGGATCTATCTCAACTGTGATACCAGTTGTAGGAGGCTCTGTTATTATGGCAGCAATAATGCATGGTGTACCAAGACATAAAATCATACTTGGTAATTCTTCCCAGTCAATCAGATGGAGATCAGGAATAAGTAATGGTATAGCTTGTGGACTTATTTCATCAATGTTAAGCTTGTCATATTGCTTGAGCTTGAGGCGTAGAATAGATGGAAGCACCTATGTTCAGATCTTTAAATCTGTTAATATCAAACAATTGTTCTATATATGTCTTGGTGTGACATTCTTGCAATCTTGTGCTGGGTATTTTATAGCAGATCAAGAAATTAACTGTTTAGAAAAAGCAACATTATTTCAGCATAAACATTTGACTAACACTGAAGAAAAGGAATCCACCTCTTATGATTAAAAAAAATAAAGGGAGAAATATTTCTTTGAGTGATGTGTGTAAAATATATATAATTTTTTGTGACTCAACTTTTATGTTACATGTTTTTGAGTCCTTATACAAATAAATCCTGTAATTGTAGAGTAAAATTTGAAAAATATTTAGTATGAGTTATTGCCTTTGTTTTTGAAACAAGATTTTTAGCTTTTGCTAGAAAAAACTATTCTTGTGAAATTGTTTATCACCCTTGCGTGAACCCTATTGAAAATCAGAAAATGTGTAAAAGGAGTTATTGACCTTGTTGTAGAAAACGCTTTTAGTTTAAGCCTGTAATCACAGAAAGGCAATCGATTCTTGCCAGAGTTTGACAAAACTTGGTAACATTATTCTGTATTGCCCCCAAAAAGTACAAAAGAAGTGTATGACTGAATGTTGAATATTTCAAACTGGTGATAGTTACCTTAGAAACTAAACTGCCTAAAATTTTACCTTGCCTTGCAAGCTATCCATATATTCATGATGTCTTAGTACTTTTAGTGCTGTTTTATTATGTACCAAAACCTGATTCAGATGCATGATTTAGGAAGCATCATATCTATAAGCCTGACCCTCCCCTAGAATGTATTCGAAAAAAATTAGTTCTGCTTTAGCCATGCACTAGCCCTAAGTTGTTTATATGAGTTAGTTTTAGGAGAAAAGCAAAAAAATCTATGGAAAAAGGAGCAGTGGATAAGATATTATTACGATAATGGCTTTGAACTATCCTAGTTTCAAGTTTATTTATTAAACGTGAATCCGATATTATATACTAATTGACTAGGGTTTTTTTTTCGTTACATGTTGTTGACACTGCAAAATCCTAAAACTATACACAGCATGATAGTCTGAAGGGTACGATACGTTACCGCCGTTGACCTATGATTGCTCGTGTGAATTGTATTATGATGGCTTTATTTTCAATCTATAGTTTCAATCTAAGGTCATTTCAATTTCAATTGAATGAAAAAGCGATGATATGCAAGGCTTTCACCAGGATGAATCGGCAGTTGAAACTATCATCATTGATGATTGGGTGCGCCTTGAAACTTAAGTGTACACCAACTGAATCAATTGAACGCGTTGAACTAACATTCAAAGATGACCATTATTTTGGCTGACAATAGATCAATTTAGATTGAAATATCTTATTAGCAATCCATCGTGCTGTGCTGAACTGAAGAAGGTTTTGCTGGGGATTAATTCTCACTTGCTGGGGCACAAACCCCAACCTAACAACAGGGCTGCCTATAGATTTTGCGGATTTGCAACTTTAATTGTGGCTAATCAAAGGAAATATTGGATCGTATAAGTAGTCTTTTTAACTTGCAAACTGTGATGCGATACCACTGAAATTGGCTCCTATGGCAAAGACATAAAACTTGCACTTGCATACACAGTAGCCTACAATCCAATAGTTAATTATGGACATGTGAGATAAACTGGTCTTTTTCCAAGGCATCAGAACACCTCTAATTTCTATTCATATAAATATTAGCAATTTCATTTCTATAAATGAAAATAAGAGAACCATTCTTTAAGAACTACTCGGCATACTTCAGTAGGGACAAAGGTTGAAATAGGTTACTTGTCTGAAGATTGCACAGCCTCACACAGTAGTATAATATTAAAATACCAATAACTATTTAAATGGTTTTCAGGTATAGAACATTTTACATAGAATATTAATGCCAGTTGTTAAAAGGGATTTTGAATCATATATATAATGAAAGAAGGCAATTCATCAGATGTACTCGGTGATGAGCAGTTTAAGAAAATATTTAAAGAAGCTGGGTAAGTTTTCTAATTGATTTTCCAAATATTAATCCATGTGATCTCACATATTGAAAACTCCTTCAGCTTTTAAACATATTTGGTGATCGGGAATAGTGAAAATAGCATAGCTTCTTTTTCGACTGCTTGTTATAAAACTTGGGAGGCCTATGATAAAGAGATTAAGATCAAGTGATAAATAAAGAAGTTTGGAACAATATTTGAATTGTAACCCCTGTAGTCATAAAAAGATAAAATGTAGAAGGTCCTAAATTGTTCAAATTTCAATTAAACATTCAACCTTATCCTGTGATCTAATACCTTTGGTTTTATTCCAGATGGCCTGTGAGATATGGAAGTGCTATTGTGATAACTAGTGGTGTTATAACTGGAAATATTTTCAATAATCACTACAGAACAATCTGTCGAATGGGTAAAGCTTTTCGGATGACAACATTGATACCTGTTGCTCTGTTTTGCCCTTTATTTGGAGGAATACTTCATGCTGCTGAAGTAAACAAACTTATTTTAAAGAAAAAACTTAAATTGGAATGTCCTGTTTGTTATGAACTAAAATCTGGTTTTGTTCAACTTATAGCTGGTGGAATATATCCACTATTAACAGCGTTTGTTTGCTGCACTGGTTTAACCAAAAAACACAAGCCAAGTAATCTACAGAAAATTGGAATGTTTGACACCACTTCAAAATTATCACAATTTAATATGGTCTTACCTAAAAGATTAGCCCTGTCTTTGTTTCTGTTTAATTTTGTTATTGGTGCTATAATTGCTCAGTTGGAATTAAGGTCTTTATTAGATCAGATGAAAGAAGAAGGAAATCAGACAGACTGAAAGAATTTTGAGTTGGTTTTAACAATATTTGGATTATGAAAACATTCATAGGAATTAGGAACTGTAAAGATTATTGAAAACTGAGGAGGAGTTTTTTTGATTTTGTGAATACTCAAAGACCCTAAAGTGAAGTGACTGTATGCCAATGTTTATGATCACAAAGTATCAAATGTATGAAGATAATGGTAATGTTGTTTATATGTTTTAGAGTAAAGAAAAAGTTTCACAATGCTCTTTATTAAATTCTATAAATTTAAATATTTTGTTAACATGGCATGAGAATGAAATGCTATGCAATGTATTAATAAATTCTGTGTAATCGAAATAATTATTTTGTGCCAAATACTAATGGTCTTATGTTCTAAGGTTATTTTATGCTTTGGGGGATTTTTATGCATTCATGATATGCGCTAGTCAGTGTGTAAGCACCCAAAAGTTTTAGGGACCAGAGAATCTGCTGGAATGAAATAGGAGATCAGCCTGAGGGTCTTGGGGTTACTTGGATTGAACCTCTTTGGTCGGCTAGAGTTGATGTAGAAATGACGTAATTATCTTCAGTGCACATGCGAGTGAGGGTCGCAATCGAATTTGATAGGAGGCAATATGGCGGGACTTTTGACCATATATAGACATTCAATGCTACAATGTTAACTCTCCAAATAGTGAATATCAGACAGGAACTTCTAACTGGGTAAAATATTATGTCACATGAGTCTCAAATATTACAGTTTGGTTGTGACTTGAGTCTAACCCGGGGCTCCAATTGTAGTCACCCATAGCCATAGAGGTGGTTTACGTATCACATGATGCACAACTTCACGAGTTAAAAGAGTGGATTGTCCTACTAAAGTCATGCCTGTGTTCTATTGTAACCATATTACGGCTCAGCTGATTTCTCCCATTATTCTCTGTTATGTATGATAGATATTTTTCAAATGTGTAGACTTCTCTATACCGTTTCAATTTCAAACTACAAAATGTTCTTATCGATTTTATTCTTTTTCGCTGTTTAGTCAAACCCTCGAGTAGATTGGAATACAGTTCACAATATTTGTAGGTAAACTGACAGAACTTCTTAATATTACACTTTCAATGACATCCTGATATTACTGAAATACATTATACCAATGTCATGAGTAGAAAAAAACTGACATTGGCTGAGTAGCCGAAGTATTCAAGGGAATCAAGGACATGATTTGGATAAGTAGGCATGTTTCCGTAGACATGTGATGCATTCACCAGTCATTCAAATTTTACTAGCATTACATTCTAGACTCGAGACTTTCGGAATATATTTTCATCAAACTCTTTATGAAGATTTTGATTTGATAACAACAAAATTCTGTGTATTTAGTTTTATGACCGAGTTGTTTAATATCGATCGGCTATATCGCCGGTCTGGTCATAACTTGTTCCAGTTTTTCGGCAAAGTTGATTACCAAGTTCAATCTCAAACGACGGAACACGTTGCTCTCTGTCAAATTTTTAATGATTTCTTTTATTTGAAAAACCAATGATATGTAGTCTTCTATGTAAGTTGACCAATCTTCAGCTCATCATTTCAATCTGGTATTTGAAGAAGCGTAGACTGAACCAATTCTGTTATACAATCTTGCAAAACTGCCATTGACACAGGACACAACGTCACAAGGCTAGCCTACTACTAGTCATAGAAGTCCGAATCATCCGCCTCTGACATCTGTTTCTTAAATCTTGAACCTGTCTATTGGATTTTTTCTTTCCGAAATTTGGAAAAGATGTGAGGAACAATTTTCTTTACTTTGGATACTCATCCAAACTAAGAAATTACCCAAAGCCAAAATCAAGATTTGTGAAACTGAAGACAGAGCAAAGTCAAAGAGGCCACTGTCATAAATTGAATTGAAAAGGGAAACTCCAGACTTGACATTTTTTCTCTTCCAAAGTTGTGAACAACAGGAACTTTCTGTCTGAAACTTTAAATCAGTTTAAATATATTCAGCAAGGACAACTATTATGGATATACTACTCTGTTAATTTAATTTTGCAACGTTTCAATTCACATACAGGAATCTTTATCAAGCATAACAATTAATAATGGAAATACAGAATAACAAAACATATATATATAGAACAGAACTCTGTCTTTCCAGTTTGGTAGGTTGCACGCTAGAATATTGGGTTCCCATTTAATGTTGTGGTTCGGATGATTCTGAATGTGTTCTGCTATAGCTGATTTTTCAATTTCTAACTTGTTACAGACTGATTTGTGTTCTTTTAGTCGGACAGATATAGGTCTGGATGTCTCACCAATATATGTCTGTTTACAACTGCACTCCAGTTTGTATATAACAGCTTTGGGGTCTACGGTTGGTTTATCAATTCTTCCATCAGCTTGCAGGTGGTTCTGTAAGGTTGGTTGACTTTTAAAGGATATATCGATATTCAGGTTCTTGGTAATAATTCGTTTAATCTGATGGCTGATAGTTCCAATATAGGGGATAACCATTTTTGTGGGTGCATTATTCTTCTGGGTAGGTTGGTTTTGGTGGTTGATTGTTCTGTTTATTGTATCTTTAACTAATTTAGGTGGGTAATTATTATAGGTAATAAAGGCATTACGTAGGTGGTCAAGTTCAGCGTTAAGTAGGTCTTTTTCACATATGTTGTGCACTCTCTGGGTCAGGGTAGAAATAATTCCTGGTTTGATTTTGGTTGGGTGGTTAAATTGGTAATTAATGTACTGATCTGTATGAATTGGTTTTCTGTATATATTGGTGCGGATAGTGCCAGTAGTTCTGTCAATCATAATATCTAGGTTATCTGTATTCCTAATCACTAATCCCCCCCACCTATTACGATTGGTTTTTAATTACTTTGTAGTGCTTCATCCTTTTATGTTATTTATGCTGAGTATGTTATCTTTGATCTTTTATTATTGTTGTCTAATTATCACCAATCTGAGGGAGTTATAGGTGTCAGTGTTTACTATATATATATATTTAGTTATTCTGTATTTCCATTATTAATTGTTATGCTTGATAAAGATTTCTGTATGTGAATTGAAACGTTGCAAAATTAAATTAAAGGAGTAGTATATCCATAATAGTTGTCCTTGCTGAATGTTCTACCTACTTCTAAATGTCATTTAAAGATTAGTTTAAATATAACTTGAACATAGTTTGACAATGTAATATCCAACATTCCCATAATACAGTAAATGAAATCAACCTATCAAACCCTAGTTCCTTAAATTTCATGTAACAATATAGAATACCTAGGTGATCTAGAAATCTTTCGTGCTTAATACAGATCGAAGACAAGGTATTTGTGTAGTTAAGTCATAGGCCTACCATTAGGCCTATTAATCCCCCACAATATTGATGTGCCATTCCTGTAAAAATACTTCAAACTAGGAATTATACCCACCATCTCTATTTATGTCTTTTCTATAAATCACAGAGTATCTTAAGTTGACGAGTCGTCATTTTAACATTCAGATAATTCTGGACACATATGGATTTGAAGGCTCAAATTTCAACGGTAAGCTTTGAACACTAGCCTATAACTGATTGATTTAGCTGAAAAAATTCTAGCTTCTGAGACTAAAGTATGATTGGTGAAAAAAATGGCCTACCTGTCACTTTAATGTATTTTATTAGGTCCAAAAAAAAAATAGCTCACCAAATTAGGTCAAATTTGTATAAGCTGATGTATATAGGTTAGTGATAAAAGTTTGTTGTGACCCTATGCTCTAAAGGGTTACTGTAGATCAAGACAAGCATGAATGACATTCAATACCTATAAACTGTAGATAAAAGATACAGTACTTGTCCATACATTTATATTATGTATTGCGGACAACTAGTACAGTTCATATATTAAAGAAAGGTTTCCTTATTTTTTGGTGTGAAATTAAGCAAATTATTGATTAATTGGTGTTTCTAATGAATTATCATTATGTTCTTATTGCATATGATTAAAAGTTTTAACCAATCAGACTTTTTGATCTTTCTTGATTGGTCTCTCATTGGAATTATGGTAATTCTCTTCTAATTAAGCTAAATAATTATGAATTAATTATTGACAGGTGAGACAAAATGGTATCTTTCCAAGTCATTAGAGCACCTCTACTTTCTATTCATTAAGAATTAGCATTTTCATTTTCATAAATGAAAATAAGGGAACCTATCTTTAATGATAAGCTTTCGACTTGAAAGAACCATCCACCTATGAAATGTAAAATTTGAGACAGTTTATTCTCAACTGATTCAACTACAGTGGCTTGATCTGTTCTGAATTGAACAGCTTGCACATTTGTAAAAGAAGGAAAAGGTCTAGAAGTGAGGTTTGTTGATTATGAAAAACATTTTGATACACAAATACAAAGTGTAATAAATACAATTATTTTGACTTAGTTGTCATATCAGATTTCTATTTTGAAAAGTAATACAGACTGCTTGAATGGAATCCTAAAAGCTAAAAAAAAGTATATTTCTTAAATACCAGCAGTGCTTTAAGAAAGAGATAAATTTGACCTAAATGACCGCGATTGTTTTCAAAGGGGTGACAGATTGAAATATGTATTAGTTACTACAATTATATTCCTACCATTAAATCAATTAGATTTATAGCTTGTTTTTAATCACTCTATTTTTTTTTAGTATACTATAAAGTCTTCTTGCTGTACAGCTGTTTTAGTTAGCAGGTTATTTCAGAAATCATATTTATCCGTGAAAATTTAATGAAAAGAAAGGTTTTGGATTTGAAGACACCTTGATAGACAGAAAAGAAATCTCAGTTGAGTTGATTCTCATTATAAGTTTTTATTGATTTCAGAATTAAGTATCCTCAAAAATAACAGATCCAGGTCTATTCTTGGTTTCCAAGTTTTAGACTTCTCAACTAACTAACCACGGAGGACTTAGAAGAAAAATCCATTCAAAGACATTCCAAAGGTGAAACTGCCAATATGGTATCTCCTGTAGATTGGAGACCTTTTATATTTGGTGGGTTGGCATCTATGACTGCTGAAAGTGGTACGTTCAAAGTTTTAAAATATTGTTTTGCAATATAAATATAATATATAAACACTTTAGAACTTATTTGAGGAATGAAAGTGTTTTAGTAAAATAGCATAGCGTGATAGTAAAAATAGATTGTATCATTTTTATCTGTGGAGCATTATATTAACATCAGCAATGCTTCTCAGCCACATGTCCACTTGTGGCCTTTGCCCTTCCCATAATTGAAGGTCCAGGGTTCAATGATGAACTTCAATCCCGGCATAGGTCAAGATAATACCTTATGATTTTTCAAATAGGTTTCCCCTGTCAGTGATTGACAGATTGACAAGGATAATCTAGTCATTTGGATAATATAAACTGAGGCCTTGTGTACTACATTCTGTGCACATTAAAGATCCCTCAACAGTTGGAAATCGAAAAAGAGCAGGCTGGCCTGGCAAAATTCCTACATTGCACCCTGCATGGCGTTGTCTGTCTTCATTAGCCCACATGGTGTAGAAAACTCCATTCATTTCATTTTTTTCCCATAATTGATAAAGTATACAGATTTTATGGATTATCTTACATTATCATGATCATGGTCATGGTTGTTATTTTGGATCTCAGGATTTAGTGACTACATGCTCAGTAATTCATCTTATTTTTATGAATTAGGTACATTTCCAATTGATACAACTAAAACCCGATTACAAATTCAAGGTCAAGTTATAGATACTAGATTAACAGAATTAAAATATCGTGGCATGACCCATGCTTTATTTAGAATATTTAAAGAAGAAGGATTTTATTCTTTATATTCAGGGTAAGAAATTCTAGTTTTCTGTTTTGTTTTATAACTTTGATTCCTTTGGGAAATGATATCTAATTTCATATGAATTTGGATACCGTACTTTCCATGTCAATTGTCTACACAATCATTACTTATAATGTTTCCTGCAATTGTTCAGAATTACAATATTATATAATGCCATTGCAGACTATTTTATTGTAAAAACAAGATTCAATTACTTGTTGACATTCACTTGTATATTTTAGAATTGCACCAGCCTTATTAAGACAAGCTACGTATGGTACTATTAAAATAGGAGGATATCAGAATCTCAAACGCTTATTTTCTTCAGATCCTAAAAGTAAGTGACAATCTAACAACTTAAGAACTTTATTTATAGATACTGTTATTACTTATAATATAGGACTTTTCTTCACCAAAATAATACATGTATAAGAAGTCTGATACATATTTTAGGATTGAGGCTTATGAAATGAAATATAATTTGCTTCTTGGAAACATGGTCATGTGATTTGTGTGTTTAGATGAACAACAATATGATTCAAGATTAGATTATATCATTAATATTTTTCAGATGAAAAACTCAGTATTAATGTTTTTTGTGGTATTGTAGCTGGAGTTATCTCCAGTTTTATGGCTAACCCTACAGATGTATTAAAGGTAAGATAATATCAAATAAATTTTTATTTGAACTCTTTAATCAAAAGTTGTATATCCCATAATTTCTCTGCAAGAGCACAAAAATTAAGTATCCAGATCTGTATTCAGATAAAGTTGAACAATAACCTACACTTTTAATTTATTACTTTTTAATAAGCTTTTATATTTGTGATGGTTGGCTACGTGAAAGTTTGTAAGTACTTTCTTAAATGGGAAATATTGCTCAAGTTTCAAATATTTGCCAGTATTTTAAGACAGATGTTTAACTTTTAATTGTGGATGACAGGTTTATTTGCTCGCATTATATGATTTACGAGAGAATAGTTCTTGAATAATAATTTGGATGTTCTAGGTTAGATTACAAGCTCAGGGTTCATCTAGATCTTCAGATTCAATGTTTAGATCATTTATGAAAATTTATCAATCAGAAGGAATTCCTGGTTTATGGAGGGTAAGTAAAGATTGTTTTTAGTGGCTGTACTCAAGACACAATTGGTATCATAAGAGATAAAAGTCCAATTTCACAAAAAAATGTATGTCCTAATTCTGCAGCAGTTAAGAATATGAGTCATTATGACTAGCTCATCACACTATATGTACAGATTGTACAGTACTTTTGAGGGGTCCATCAATCAGCCGAACAGGATTCGGGAATAAAGAGTCAGTAGATTAGAACAAATAATTTTCATCCATAATAATATTCAAAATACACCATACAGCATGAATCTATTTTGTCGTGACAGCCATCACATAGACAAATTCTAATAATAGTTCCGAACAGTTCCAATAAGTAGTAATATTAGTAATTAAGATTAAGCCACAACTGTAACCTAATTATCCGGATTAGGCACATCTAATTCAAGTAAGCAAATTTTATGAATCGGTCATGTTAAAATCACAGAACCTCGATTAACATCTGATTTATTATGTCGTTTTGCGCAAGTTGCAACAGTCGAACACGTTTTAAAATTAACAGTTCTAACTAAACCATCCTTTGATCTAAATGCTTCGACAACTCTAGCCAAAGGCCATTGTCCACGTGAAAAATTATCATCAGCCACCAGAACTAAGTCTCCAACAGCAATATTCCGTTTAACAGTATACCATTTGGATCTTTCTGTCAACGTAGGCAAATACTGGTTTATCCATCTACGCCAGAACAAATCACTAATATATTGAGCCTGCCTCCATCTTCGCTTTAAATAAAGATCTTTCTTGTCAAATGTTCCTGGAGGTACACTAGAAGTAAAACGTAAATGTAATAGATGGTTTGGAGTAAGTGGTTCATCATCTAATACACTGTCACTGTTCCTAGTCAATGGTCGACTATTCAAAATAAGAATAGCTTCAGCTACAACAGTCAAAAGAACTTCATCGCTTACAATTTGTTCTTTAAGAACAGATTTTAAAATTTGTTTCACAGAGCGGATCATCCGTTCCCATATCCCTCCCATATGACTAGCTGTTGGGGGGTTAAAGTTCCATGAGATACCTTTCGATACACAAAAGTTAGAAAGTACACGAAAAAGGGGGTTTATCAACTTGAAGTCTCTGTTGCGGTAAATCAGCCATATATTGAACCTCTAATTTCTTGGAACGTCTTTGACAAATGATACACTTCAATAAAACGCGTTTCACAGCTGCTCTCCCATTAATAATCCAATATTTCTGTCTGAGGTAAGCTAAGACAGATTCTTGACCCATATGTCCAACATAACTATGAGCATCTCTAATTAATAAGTCAATCACATGATGCCTTTTTGGTAAAATTAAGGGATGTTTTACATAGTCAATCAATGCAACATTTTCTAATTGTCCTCCTACACACAATAAACCATTATCTAGTCTAGGATTTAACTTAACCAATGCGGAACCACATTTCCTCAAAGTTTTCTTGGTTTTTGATTCTAAAATTTTCAAAGTCTCAGGAAAAGATTCAGCTTGCACATGCTTAACCATTTCAATTTCGGCATTCTTCAATTCGTCCACTTTAACACATCAGGTGATGATTTAAATACAGTTCCATTCTTGCGAGATAAAATTCGATCGCGTAAAATCCTTTTAAGCCTCAATATCCAAGCAACGGCTCTCTTCAACTTTAGAAAAGACGAATATCTTTTGAAAAATTCACTTATAGGATTCTTATTGTCAGTTTCAACAGCATAAATTTGAGCTTCTTTGCGAATTTCAGGGTCTGTATCTAACATAACTGGAATATCAATCATTTTAGGCCATAAGTGTTCTTCCTGGTACAAAAATTCAGGTCCGGTTAGCCAACGATCATTTTGAATAAAAGTCTTTAATTTCAATCCTTTTGATCCATCGTCAGCAGGATTCAAATTTCGATCAACGTATCTGAACTGAGATGCTTCAGCTACAGAATGAATAATAGTCAAGCGATTTGACTCAAATGTGTGAAAACGTTATGTCTCATTATTAATACATTTCAAAACTGACATAGAGTCTGTCCAATACACACAGCAATTAATATTATAGTCTAATTCTTCTTGAATTAATTTACAAAGTTTTACTGAGATGACTGCAGCCGATAGTTCCAATCGAGGAATAGAAATTTCGCGAAGAGGCGCAAGTCTAGCCTTTCCCATCACGAAAGCACAATGAATGTTACCCATATTGTCCACAAATCTCAAATAAGCTACAGACGAATACCCAACACGCGAAGCATCCGAAAATAAATGAAGTTGAGTATCAACAATGCCAGTCAAATCTTTCGACTTAAAACTCCTTGGAACTTGGATTTCACAAAGTCTTTGGGAATCAGTCAACCATCTTGTCCACTGTGATTTGTCCTCGTCCGATATTGCATCGTCCCATCCTAATTGTTTTCTACTTAGCATTTGTAGAATTAATTTCGCCTTCATAACGAACGGTGCTATGAAGCCTAAAGGGTCAAATAGTGAATAAACAATAGAAAGAATTCCCCTTTTCGTCATGGGTTTGTTAAATGCGTCAACGTAGAGTTCGCTCATATTCTTCCAAATAAAACAATCATTGTCCGTGTTCCATTTAATGCCAAGAGCACTTTTAGTTGGTAATTTTTCCAAGTCCAGGTTAACAATTGATTTTGTTTTTTCATTTACTGGAACATGAGTCAAAAATTCACGATTGTTACCGCAACATTTAGTGATATGAAAACCACCTTTAGCTAAAAGTTCAGTCAAGTTAGTATACAGGTTAATAGCTTTATCAACAGTATCAACAGATTTCATCAAATCATCGACGTACATATTACGTAGAACAGTTAAAATAGTTTCAGAGTCAAAGTCATTCTTGTGAGATCTAGCACAAAGTTTTACGCAATAATTTGCAACACATGGTGATGATGTCGCACCAAAAATGTTTCACCATCCTAAATTCTTCTACAGAGTTAGACAAGTCATGATTCTTCCACCACAAGAATCTAAATGCATCGCAATCTTTAGGATCAACTGCCACTTGGTGGAACATAGCTTCAATATCAGCAGTGATTCCAATCAACTCCTGTCTAAACCGCAATAATATTCCAACCAACAAATTAGCTAAGTCCGGTCCCTGTAATAAGTTCTTGTTCAGGGAAGTATTACCAAATTTGGCAGCACAATCAAACACGATGCGCACCTTTCCTGGCTTAAGTGGGTGTGTTACCGGGTGGTGAGGTAAATACCAAATCCGATCCTCTGATTGAAGCTCTTTTGCTAAAACCAATTCCGCATGACCTTTGTCCAAATAATCTTGAATTGCAGTTTTATATTTATCAAATAAGTCTGGATTCTTAAGAAATCGTCTCTTTAATGTTTTAAGTCTAAATTCGGCCGAAGATTTATTATCGGGAAGTACCGAATGTTCACTTTTCCATGGAAGTGCCACTTGATAGTGTCCATCAACCAACTTTACACTATTCTGAATAATGTCTAAAGCTCGTTTATCCTCAAAGGACATTCCAACTTTATTGTCAACTTCTAAATCACCGAAGTCTGTTTTCCACAAACGATCTAATTGTCTTTTTAAATCAGGGTCCGAATTGTCCACATGAGTGTCAAGTTTGACAAAATTAACTGAATGAGAATCACTCATCTTACGTCCACCAACAGGTCCTAAAATAGTCCATCCCAAGCTATATCGCACAGCAATGGGTTCATGTTGCTCACCATATCTAGATTCTAAAGGTATAAATAAACTAGGGTTTTGTTTTAAACCAATCAACAAGGATATTTCAGGTTCATCCAGATCTTCTAATACGATGTCTTTCAGGTGAGAATAGTTTTTAATATCAGACTTCATTGCTATACAACTATTGGATATAGGCAAATCTTCCACTGTTTTCACGTTCTTCAAATTATATGAAACATTTCCATCCAATGACATCACAGTTATGTCCACATTTTGACTAATCATGTCCGCAGTTCCAGTAATACCAGTAAGTTTTAAAGTTTCTTTAGAATTACTGCCTTCACCTAAAAAGTCAACTTTCTTCTGAGAACACAGACTAAGTTCACTACAATTGTCCTGTAAAATATATGTCTTAAAGAATTCACTATTGTTAATCTTAATTTTACATGGAATGGCACCTAAACATACACGACTCACACCAGCCCCAGTTGCTGCAGTCAATGATCCACATCCATCAGGTTTCTTAGGTTTAACATTGTTTGATTTGTCTTTCTTAAACACAGAAAAGTCTGCACCATGCAATAATGAATTATGATTTCTACCACAATTATCAATTCTACATTTAAAGTCCTTTTTATCACAAGAATTTGAAAAGTGTCCAATGTTTAAGCATTTTAAACACAAAGAATGTTCAATTGTAAATTTTGCTCTATCCTGTGGTTTTAAATTAGTAAACTTTTCGCATCTCCAAACATCGTGTCCATTATTACAATACGAACAGTTTTTAACCTCACTTTGCTTGTGGTTTGTTGGTTTGGATTCAGAGGTTACCATTGTTGAAACTGGTCTAGACATTGTATAGCCTGATTTCTTAACAAACTTGTTATTGTCTGCACGTTTAGAAAAAGTCATATCTTCTCCGAATTCATTGTTTACCAATTCAGCTCTAGATTTAATAAATTTCATAAAATCTAAATATTTTGGCTTCTTATCATTTTTAGTTATACGTCCGACGTTTTCTACCCATTTCGCTCTCAAAAACATAGGTAATTTTCTGCTTAAAACTAACAAATTGTTTATGTGATCCAAGTCAGCAATATAATCTTGTCCCATGCCCATTAAAGTTCGATATGTTATTTCAAGATGTCTCGAAAATTCAAGTAGATGTGCACCATCCGCAGTTTTAATGTCTGGTAAATCTTTAAGCCTTTTTAGATTCTCCCTAGCCACAATGTGGGGTTGTCCAAAGTTTTCAAACAAAGTTTCTTTAGCACTTATATAACCTTCATCCGGCGATAAATTAACACAACATTCTATGGCGTCTCTAGCTTTACCACCGCAATGTTGGATAAGCAATTGTAGTCTTTTAGAATCGTCAGAAGTTTGTTTCTCAAGGCACGTTTCAAAGTTGTGTATAAACGAAGCATAGTTTAATGGATTACCGTCAAATCATAAATATTCTAATTTAGGCGTCAATACTGCCTCGCACAATTTAAGCATTACATCCTCGGTACTAGGCTTAATTTGTTCACTTTTTACAACAGAATTACCATGCATATTTACATTTCTATCAACATCAACATTATTATCAAAATTAATCAAATCACTATCATAACAAGGTACATGATTTACAACAGGTAAATGCTCTTGAATTGGAATAGGATTACGATACAGATACATAATTATTACTCATAGCAACAGGATCATTATATGAATTTTCATAATGACTCGAAGCAACGGCATTATTATCATTTGCATAACTACCAAAAGGAACAGGATTATTATTCAATGAAATATGATCAGGACTATTATTAACAGAAAGAGGATTATTACCATAAGTTGGAACATAATTCCCAACAGGAACAAAATTATTCATAGGTACATATTGATTTACCATAGGATTCATATTAAGAGGTACATAACTTGGCAAAGGATTTCTAACATTTATAGGCGTGAAAGTACTCACAGGGGCAGTATAACTAGATACTACTGGCATAGAATTAGAAACGGGTCCTGGCAAATGCATATAGGTGCTACAAGTAGACACTGGATTTCTTACATGCACATAATTTGGCCTACAGGTAGGAACAGAATGCATATTCCCTAAATTTACATTAACAGTTTCATTAACAAATGTATCAATGTCTTTAAATTCATCAAACTCTGAAAGTCTCTTATTGGTTTCTTCTTCTTGAAAAACCTGTAAACTAATTTCAGCTTGCTCTGCCTCATTCATTGCTTCCATCAATTCCTTTTCTTGGTTCAACTCATTAAACTTCTTGGTTAGTTCATGACTTTGTTTCAGCTGCTTCACTTTTAACTTGGCAAGGGCTAACTTTTCTCTTTTCTTAGCAGCTACACTACTGGTGTCTGAACGTAAATTACTAAATAGATCATCAGACATAATGCTGGTTATAATCAAAACCACATAAATAAGTTTCAAAACTTCAAACATGTAGAGAAATGTCCAGAAAACACCCTTTATAGGTCGTCACAGCTAATAAACAGCTCGTCCATCATTAAATTGTATAATTTGTAAAGTTGTATATTGCACCCACTGTAATTAACTCACAAAAAATGTCAACAATCACGTGTAGCGTCGGCAGGGTAAATAACTTGGAAACTCCATGTACAGATTGTACAGTACTTTTGAGGGGCCATCAATCAGCCGAACAGGATTCGGGAATAAAGAGTCAGTAGATTAGAACAAATAATTTTCATCCATAATAATATTCAAAATACACCATACAGCATGAATCTATTTTGTCGTGACAGCCATCACATAGACAAATTCTAATAATAGTTCCAAACAGTTCCAATAAGTAGTAATATTAGTAATAGTAGTAGTATAGTAGTAGTAATATAGTATAGTAGTAATAGTAGTAGTAATAGTAGGTTTCCAAGTGTTTGGTACCAAACCTGACACAAACACGTCCAAGCAAAGTCCAAATTTACATCAAAAAATAAAATTCCGACATCCATGCCGTTTCTTTTCCAAAAAAGTAAAACGTACGCACAAAATTAGCGACGTAATCAGGTCAATTACATACAAAAACGTAATCAAAAACTAGCCTAACACCAGGCCTAAACTGGTAGCTACACTATATTTTAATCCTGAAATAACTTGGCCAAAAACTTATGTCTTTTTAGCACTTTTTTTTGTTATTTGATATATGTTGATGATACAGTAATAAAAGACAAATGATCATATTTTTAGGGAGTTGGTCCTAATGCTCAGAGAGCAGCTGTTGTTGCAGGCGTAGAGTTACCAGCATACGATGTCTGTAAAAAACATATAATAAGATCGGGTTATTTAGGTGATTCTATAGAAACACATTTTCTGTAAGTATACATTAGAATGGTTCTTAAAAAATTATCCTTTTATTGATTTGAAAATAACCAGAAGAAAAGCACAAGCCAACCAAAATTCTTCATCCCGCCCCTCAGTGTAGTTTAATTCTTAAAATCAAAACAAACCTATATTCATCATTTATTCAGTATGTATGTATCCAGGTATGAAAAACCAAAGTTGTTTGCTGCACACAAGCTGGTTAGAAACAAATGGGATGAAAGTGTGTGTGTACCTTTGTCTTTTGTCTTTTTTTGCAATATTTTTCATTGCAAATAGCATGACCTTGAGTTGGTTTGATTCAGATAAGTAGGATTACATCATTTATGTTTTTGTAAATAATTAAAAATATTCATGTCTCTTTCTGTTTTGATAGAGCTGCCTTCTTTGCTGGTTTTGTTGGAACTGTAGCATCAAATCCTATAGATGTTGTCAAGGTAAACAAGTACACTATATATTTAGATAATTTGACAATTTCTCCTCAAAACTGCTTTTCCAGTTATTGGCATTAACATAAGAAGTAATTTCAATATTGACCTAAAAGAAATGTGATTAAACTGATTTGAATATATATAGCACAACATGCTAACATGCAAAGTTACAAACAAACAATCTTGCAATACAGCAGTAGCATCAATATAAATATCCACATGATTAAGATCTTATGCAAAATGTTTTTGAAATCATGGCCTACTACTATTATATTTACTGCTCTTTGATAGTTACCATAGAAACAGGACTTCATGATACAGTACCCTGTTCTTATTCTACTGCAAATCTTCCAGAAGAAAATGTGCATGATTATAGATTTGATCATTGTGTATGTTGGAGAAATTTTCATAATCTTCAGTTGCCAATAGTAGCAGAAATAACCTCAATATCCCTCCTTTTGCCTTTCTTAATATTGATCTGAAATCACTTTGATATCATTTAAAACAACTAATACGTATGCATTTCATATGTCAGTACAAATCTTTTTTATGAAAGTTTCTTCAACCTTTATCCAATTCATTTCAAATTCATATATCATGTAATGAAAATTAATTATAAATTTTGTTGTGGTCATCTGACCACTTATTTTACTATGATTGGTTAATTGATTTTTAAGGTTTAGATTCTGTCCAACGGAGAAGATGTGGAGAAAGCCGACTAGAACGAAGCCCACATTAAAACAAGGGAAAGGAAGCAGGCACGTTGATTGTGCCCGCACCGTGCCTCTTGAGTGGGTGTAGTTAAGTTGTCTCCCTTTCTAAATTGGTAGCCAGCTATCTTATATGCTGTAAATTTATAGTGTTAGTTTCCTTTAGAATGGCAAATCTGTTTCTTTATCTTGAAACAATCATAGTTAATGTACAGATAAAAACAGGTCCAATACAAGACGTAATGTTCATGGCTATAAACTATAATTCAAGGTTCACTGGTCCTTAGTAATCAGCGAAGACAATTTTCATCAATGAATATTCCCTTAGTTATGTATGATTTTTTCAAGATTAAACTATTGCCATTCTTTCTTTCATGCTATCATTCAATATTTTGTGTGATTAGACTTAATTGACAATGTGTAAGAAATATTATGTATTAATTTGTTTAATGATAGTTATGTATCACCATTGATGGTAGTTTTAATGAAAATTTGTTAAAAATGAATGACAAACCTTTTCAAACCACCCTATTTTGTAAATGCTCAAACATTAACATGAACTCCTCTATCAGATTTTATTTACCCAGTTTTATGAAAATTTAAATTTACCATAAAAGTTGTGAGAGTTATTTTGTTTTGAATTTCAAAATCAACTTTATATCTGATCATTATACCTACAGAAGTTTTCTGAAAATGGGCTGACTACTGAAGAATTTTGTTCATAGACAAGGGTTATAAATTTGTATGCAAATTTCTTATTGTTGAATTCTGACATGACCTCGATTAATATTAATTTTCTCCTTGTGCTATATTGTTTTTTTAAAAATTGAGAAAATATTAGAAAACAGTCAAGTAAAAATTAGATATTCTCAGATTTTGTATTTCATAATCGTCTAGAAAATTATCAACTGTTTCTTACACATAAAGCAATTTACAAAATGGATTTTTTAATTTCAAAGCAAACTTTCGCTGAAAAAGAAAATTAGTGTTTCAATATCACTCAGAAGGTAAATTCAGGAATTAGATTAGGTTCATATGTATTGAAGGATCTTACATTTAGTTTTTGATATAAATATATTTGTTTTGAATATTTCCTAGCAGTATTCTTTGTTTGAAAATTATTTTATGTTCAAAATTGAAATGTATTAATTTAATATGATTCATTAAAAATTTCAAGTTGTAAAATACAATCGCTTTCTATTCCTTGGTAAATCGTTTTATCTTTGACTTCTTTCTGAATTTACCTTCTTAAAATATAAGTCATATTAAACCTTGACCAAAGTATTAAATCTGAATTAAATTCTTGGTTCCTAATTTTCAAGTTCAACTCTTTTATTTTTCTACAGACTCGTCTAATGAATCAACAGAAATTAAAAGTTACTGATACAGCTACTGGTAATATACCTAAAATATATACATCATCTTTCGACTGTTTCGTTAAGGTGAGGATTTTAGTATTTTATTAGTATTAAAGTACTTATATAAAAGTCTAATACTTGAATTTGAAAGTGAAAATAGCTGGATCATATAAAATGATTTTATTTTTTTATTATGATATAAAAGGATAATGTGATCTCTTGAGTAGAAAGCTATACCTGCTTCCTGGAAAATATAGTTATTTAATCCATTTAAATTATTGTTTCAGACCATTAAAACTGAAGGATTTTTAGCTCTATATAAAGGATTTATACCAACATGGGTTCGACTTGGTCCATGGAATATTATTGTATCCTTGAATAAAAATAAATCCAAAAAGTTCAAAAGAAGAAAAAATAGTTGCTTCACATCTTTTGTGCTTTCAGAATATTTGATTTATTTAGCATAATTAGTGCTAGTTATGAGAAACCTGGTGTCCCTTTAGAAAAGAACACTGTTTGATAAGGGTTCATGTTGTTTTAAAATAGACATTAAATTGTGCAGCACTGGAGAGAAACAAGTGAAATTGATATACATTTATATTAAGAATATGTTCCTTATTAAACCTTAACCAATACTAGTTTTTTATGACTTTTGAACAACTAAAGAAGAAGACAAACATCTAAGTAAGAGTAAATCTCATGAAGAAAGAAATTTGGTACAGTTGAGGATTGCCAGAGAGGCTTTTTTTTATAAACCTTTAATTCCGGTGATATTAATTCATGTAATAACTGAAATCCTACCCATACATAATACCTGAAAACTTGGCAAATATCATTATCTGATTGAAAAATAGTTGGTCTTAAGGAAAGTTAAAAAAAAAAGTTTAAGTGATTTCTGGATTAGAATTTCAATTCTTTTTTAATCTTGCTTCACCAACATTGCCTCCTTAAATTGCTCTCATGCAAGTTGTGTTTAGCCTGCACTGCTGTTTGCTTGTCATAATATGTCAGTATTTATCTAATTGGAGTTCTTTGTTACAAAGATGTATTACCTGTTACGTAATAATGCATCTTTAAATGATGTAAGTAAAGACAAGTTTGCTCTTCATGTACTTGATCAAATATATTTACTTATTTTGTAATCTTAGAAGATGGACATGCATAAGTTATCTTGATATTTCTTTTCTGTCCAATATGTAAGAATATTTCAACATTGTCCAGTTGTAAATTATATGTGTTGTAAATTGAAAGTTCGAAGTTGAAGTGTCAAACTGTATTTAGTGCAATATGCTATATAATTCTTATGGTGCCAGAAAGCCTAAATCAAGTTAAAATACTAAATATTCAAAGACACTACCAAGATGCCTAAGCCTGTATTTTGTCATTTTCTGGTAAAAAGACAAGTATGATTAGTGTTCAGTTTATTTTTACTCCAAAAGTAATGAATGCTCATGTCTTTAACTTCAAACGTGTACATTTATCTTTGACTGAAATTAGTGGCTCAAATTATGTAATGAAAAAAGAATATTCCTCTTTCAAATAAATCATGTCTTTCTTGTGTTTTTTCTTCAGCTGAATGTGTATAGGCAAGTTAGGCCTGCTTCAGCTCTCAAAAACAAAAAGTACATGAATGGAATTTTTGATCTATATGATCATGAAATATTTGTAGTATGCAATTCGTAGTTTTGAAAAGCTGAAAACAAGTATGACAATTGACATTGAAACAAAATGTCTTTCTTTTTTTTAAACTTTAAATGTGTCTAACTTGCTCAATGAATTTTTACATAGTTAGTTCTCTCTCTGAACGTAAATAAAATACTCCATTATGTAGTTATAATATTTAGAAGTATATATCTCATATTTGTTACCACTGATCAAAGGAAATTTTATTTTATTTAGTAATTTAAAAATTTTTGGGGGGTTAACATACAGATGTTGTGTTTGATATTTTGATCTGATATTATGTACCCCCACCCAGTATTTATAAATAGACAAAACACATTCAAACAATTGTTTTAATATTTTATTAGAATTTTGTATTTTTGAATTTTGTTTCATACAAAATATAATATAGCGTTCAGATCTGGATTAAATTTGGTAAGCAAGTTTATCAGATTTAAACATCGGCTCGTGAGAATGTACAATATATCGTCAGCCTCCATTAAATCTCATAGTGTGCTAGTTACAGGGCAATTTAGAAGACAGTGAGTCAGTAAATGGTACCCATGATCTTGAACATTTCTGTTGAACACTTATTTTTTTTTTATAGTAGATAATAATTGTTTTACAAAGTGCCATATACTAGATCTTATATAGAGTTTATACTCATTGATTTATGGAATCAGATAAAAATAAATTGTGATTAATCAATGTTAATTTATGATTTAATTTTTGTGAAGGTGATAAATAAATATTGAATTTCTTAGGCTTGTTTTAATTCAAGAGGTAATTAACCTTTTATACTGGCTGAAGAAAAGTTTCTTACTAGTACATTGAATTATTGCCGGCACATGAGCCGTCCGATACTTTAGTTAACGATTAAAGTTTTGTCTTGAATATCAACGACTGGCACCGGCACATGAGGGGACAAAAAATCTGTTTTCCACCTTGCTGATAATCATACGCGGAGCATGCCATTGAAAGGAAAATGAATCTGATTGGATGATGACGATCTGTCTTGCAGACGATAAAACTATCAGAGACAATTATCAAATTTGTTTGATATTATAAATCCTGTCAGAAAAGCGATAATCTTGTCGTGGAAGCACGGGCACATGCAAGATTTTACTCAAGATTCAAGTCGGCAACAAAAATCTCATACTGCTTGTGTGCCCGCACCTTAAGTATAATATATACTTGTGAGATAGAAGACATACAGACATGACAAGTAGTAAAAAAAATTCAAATGCTGTAGCTCTTTTTAACATCATTTTTAACAACAGCAAGCAAGACAGGAGCTATCTTAATATAATTTAAATGATATTCAAAGAGGTGTTATAAAACAGATGAAGATAGTAAACTGTATAACACCATATCTACTCATCTGTGTCCCTATATGATTCTGGCTTTTGTGACTTCCATGGTATTTATGGAGTTGCAATGTCTTTTCCATCACACTGCATTTAAAAATATCATTTTCTAAGGTCCATTAAACATCTTTTCAAAGAGACAAGAGAGCACTAACATACATTGTTTGGTACATATACAAACAAATAATGACAATTACCAAACAAATGTATGATGAAAATGTTATGAGTTACATGCTAAGAAATATTACACATGATAAATACAAGCACATCTGCTTCAATGGTGCAAGTCATTTTTCAAAATATTTGAGGTTGCACGTTCATTATACACAAATAACAAAACATTCAGATTGGTAAAATAACATCACACTTCATCATTTTCATTCTCTCTTCACTTTCATAAATATTAAAGTCTATTTATTCATTCATTTATTCCAGCTCTTCTCTTTCCTCATTAAATAGTGCTTTACCTCTATGGTTAAATGTATAAAAGGATTGTCGATTTCCAATCATATCCCAGGTTCTGAAACAAAAATTATAAAAACAGTAAATTGTCTGTCAGAGATGAGTTTAGTGTAATAAAGTCGTTAATGATAATGATTAAGTTTACAACAAATAAATAGAAGAATGTCAATTTGCCTTACGAAGAATTCACAGAATAGTGTCAACAATAGACCATACTTGTCCTTTATCTTTCTTAGTTGCCCTGTGAATGAAGAATTTAGCATTACAACTAAACTGAACTTACTTATTTTCCATTTCAGCACTTGCTTTTATACTTTTAAATTGACCAGCAATATTAATGATTCCGTAAAATGTTATTGATAATCCAATAAGGCATTGAATCATTATCTGGAATAAATACAAAGTTATAAAAGGGTACTTTCTTAATAAAGCCCATTGTAGTCCTGCATCAATTTAAACAACTAAATGCAATATTTCTTGATGAAATAAATAATAATCAACTAATAATTCTTCTGAAGATTCATTCCTTTATTCAATGAATGACAAAAAATACACAAAAAAAATTCACAACTTACATCAAGAGGTAGCCACGTAAATTCTTTTTCAGTTAATCTCAAATATGCATGATCTGAAATTTGAAAATAAAACCCTCAAAAAATTACATTAAAACAGTGAAATACTCAAACTATTTGGTATAAGCAATTCACAGTAGGCCTTAAGCCTATTCAATTAAATCATGGTCATGTGATACAGGCAGTCTATATCAGTGAGCCCCTACTCTCTGACTGCACAATTTTCTGAATTGAATTTTGACAATCATTATCCTTGAAATACCAACCACAAAATACTAGTGAGAGTCTTTGGGTTGATGAAACTGTTAACCACTGAAAGAAATATTATTTTACAGTGGGAATTTTCAATCCGAAAGTGGATCCTTTTCACATGAATTTTCTGGGAGGAAATTGTGTCTATTTCAAATATAAAGTCACTGTGTCTCATATTTCTATGGATCCAAAGACATTCTAAGAGAAATGGCATACAATTGAAAATTTTATTTCGAAGAGAGAAAAAATTCAATTCAGAGACAGTAGGACTAATCATGTATACAAGAATATAATTAATCTTATTCCATAAGCATACCCTTTGCTCACTTAATTCCCTTACATAAAGAGAATTGCATTTAATGGTAGACAATAAAAAATACTTTCGTGTATTTTTTATCGCAAATCAATAATTTTATGGTAGCCTACCATGCCCTCGATCCAATCATAAAATATAAAGAAATAATTGACTTTCAATCTTACGTTGAGTTGCTGAGTATGCAGCATGAGCTAAGGCGATCAGACCAATACTGACGCATAATTTTGGAACGAACCCCATGTTATTTTCTAATAATTTATATCACTTGGCCAGATGACGATATTTTTGCGGCCATTAATATCGTTAGTGGGAATTTGATGACGACATTCAACAATCCATTCAAATTTATCATTAAGCATGGAGTAATAATCTCAGTTGATTGGAATGATGATTTTACCCCCATAAAGATCCCTGCAATTAAACGGAACTTATTTCTGTTTCTTCTATTATTAAATAACAATTTAGGTTGACCGGAAATTTTACGACATTCAAAGCAATTAAGCAACTGGGGACCATGATTTACAAACTCACAAGCCACAAGACTCGTTTTCGCTGTTTTGTCTAAAAACAACCGTTTACATTAGACAAGCCCTTACTTGGGAGACAGTGATTAACCTTATTGCGTTCCTCTCTAATAGAGATTTATAAATAACAGTTATTGTACCATGAGGGCAAGATAATAACTCTACCCAGATCACTTTATTTGTGACCCGGCCAGTGCTTTACATAGGAGTATCTATGAACTTCCTCACTCTCAATATTATCTTATCACCAAGTTAGATACATAATTTCATACAGTCAGATAGTTCTGCAGGTCATTAATAATTTGCTTTAACCCTTCAACCTTAATTGAATAAGGCAATATATACCACAGTATCCGTTACCATGTGACAAGGTAATACGCTTTAAGTTACATTACCCGGAGTTCACGGTATATGATATTTTATTTCATTTACACTCAAAGAAAAGAACAAGAATTCATGATAACAAGTTGTTCAAAATAAGCTGTCAAGTAGACATGAAAGTACAGAAGAGCTATGGTTTACAATGCAGATTTTTGGAAATTATGAAATGACTGATAAAGTGGGCTTTTAATATTTATTGAAGAACAAAAAGCTATTCAGATGATAAAAATATTTATTAAAACTAAGAGGCAAGCCACCATAATCCAATGCTATTATCCACTAGATCTGTGGTCTGAGACAAGTCTTCTGTATCACTATCATCACTATCACCTAACACTGGATAATGTCTCTGTCCTGATGATGTAGCTACTACAGGTAAATAGGGGTGCAAACTAAAAAAAAAATTTTTTGATAAAGATAATTTAGAGAAAAGGTCATTTGAAATACTCACTTACGAATGATAAAACCTCATGCTTAAAGCTACTGTTCAGAAATGATGGCACTCACTCTTTCCATGACACAAGGCAAGAAATTTTACAATATCTAGAATGGACTGTGAATCCAATGTGATACAAAATACAAACCTAACACCATTAACTGTATCATAATGGCCTTTGTAAGATAATATTGCTTTAGGTCGTGTATCTTCTAATTGTAAAACATCCCATACACTGATTGTACCATCATGATTACCAGATATTAAATATCTTCCAGAACTAGAAATTCAAATAGAAGTGGGAGCCTGCATTGATTATCTTGATATATTTTAAAAACTCTATAGCAGTCAGCAGATTCATAATTGAATATTTTGTTAAGCTTTTGCATACACTCCCTTTCTGTACAGGTTCAAAGAAAGACAATATGATTATCTAATCCAAAAGGAGTGAACAGAACAAACATAAAACTGATTTTGAAATTAGTGAACTTTCATGAACATTCAAGAAAATTAATTTCAGCTTCACATAGCCTTATTTGTTTCAGACTATAATTAATAAAGACTAACCTGTCGAGATCAAAATATATTCTTTGATTAGTTTCAACTTGTCTATTTACTGTAAATAAAATTTTACTGGGATTCCGTAAATCCCAACAAATTATTTCACCATCCTGAAAATAATACAATACCAGCTTACTTTTGTTATTTAACTGAAATTGACAACAGAACAGCATTTATACACAGTTCTTAAGTTTGATTGTCATTTCAAAAGAGAAACATTTGAATCCTTACCATCCTTTAGGCTACTACCTACATATTTGTATTTTAATGTATGAAAAGAGGTTATCTAGAAAAAGATAGTAGAAATTATAGCAAAGACAAGTTTGAAATATACCTTTCTGGCACCACTGTATAATTTAGTACCATCTGGTGACCATAATATATGAGTAACACCACCTTGATGTCCAGTAAAACTACAGGCTAGTTCTCCTTGAGGTTCATAATATAAAGCAACTGAAATCAGAAATTTCATTCTTTGTTAAAAAAAAATCAAAATTTCAATTGACTGAAGTTAATGATGAAAAATTTTGCGCATCTGCTCCCTCAACTGTACCCCCACTCCCATTACTGAGAAATGATTTCTATACATTTTTACACAAAAATATGTTTCAGAATGCATCCAATTAACTATATTTTCAAAATTTAGGCAAGAAAACCCCCACAGATCCTCCTTGGAAGTCAGTCTACCCCCTATTAGTAACCCCAGTTCGAGGAGACTTGCATCACCACTGATAAAATTTAAACAACTTACTTGTTCTAGAATAAGAGCCAGCAGCATATAAACTACTATCTACTGGACAAAACTTTATACATGATATTATTCCTGGTTGACCAACAGATTTCACTGAAACAAAAACATCAATGTAATGTATTGAAGATCAGAGGTCTTAAAGTATATCAATAAAAGGCTCGACCAAAAATATTGTTAACCACTAAAGGAGTAAAGTTTTGGGTTGTAATTAAAGACACAAAATACTAAAACTACTGTTACATACCTCTATGCTATGGTATTCTATTGAATGAAAACTAATGGGAGGGTAAGATTTTTCTAAAGTAACACAAGTATCATACCAAATGTTTTTCTGTTTTCAAAATTTCTTCCTGGTCTGCTGACATCAAACACTCTGATAGTTTTAGTAAAACCACAATATATCTTGTTACCTTCATTATTAAACGCTACACTGTGAGCAGCTACCATTTCATCCTATAATTACAAAGAGAAAGGAGACTTGCATCGAAATATAGATATGAGAACAAGTCCCTTATTGTCAAACCTCAATAGAGACACAGGCTGAAATAGGTCAGTTGTCTACAGAATGCACAGCCTGAACCTCTAAGTAGCCACAGTCTTCGAGTTGGGTTATATAAAAATAAGAGAATATATATATAAAAACTTACAGCCTGGTCATAAGATTTATAACTACATATTAAATCTCCAGTAAAAGCATCCCACATATGAACTGGCATACATCTACTAGTACTGATCAAACTGCAAAAACAAAGATAAAAAGATGGCAACATCAAAATCTACATTGTAAGAACCTTTCACTTTCAAGAACTAGCAACACATTATCTTCTAGTATTATCAAAATAATAATACACTCACCAGCATGATTCTGGGTCTGAGGAGTTCATTAATGGATACCAAGAATAATCATATATAGTTTCTCCAACTTTCATCTTCAAAACATTTTTCTACAATAAATAATTTGAAAATAATCAACATTACTTTTTTCATTTGTAAAAGAGTTGTCTCTTGTTCTTTAAATTACACATTCTCATAATAGGAACAGTTTAAATTTTGTTTATAAAACTATACAACAAAGTCCCTCAATACACATTTTGTGTCAAAGTACCAAAATCTATTCAAAAAGAATAAAGTTTGTACCATTTCAGGAACATCTAATAAAGAACCATCATATATCTGTGGTGGTGTATTGAATAATCTTAGTATATTATCATCACTATTAGTTAATAAACAACTTCCATCTGGTGACCATTTACATCCTTTAATAAAATTATTTTCTTTATTTTTAAAATCTTCCCAGGCTCCTGTAATCTGACCAGGTTCTTTTTCCAAATTATAGCTGATTTGATAACTGAAAATGAAAATTGGCATAAGCTGAATTTATACAGAGATACGCAATTATTATATCAAAGTTGAGAACACTATCTAGACAAAAAAAAATGTGCAGTTGAAATGTTTTGAGATTTGATTGAATTAATGAACTGAACAAAAACATTGAAATGATCACATCATTTGCATGGTGCTCTTTGAAACAGGATTCAGTGTCCATTGATTCATTTTCTTTGCATGATTATGGTGTACCTGGATAGGATGTCAAACCATGGTCAAACTACAGCTTGTTCTTAATGATGACTCCACTCGAGCTAAATATTATGTCATATTCAGAATCAGTATTCTAATCTGACCAGTATTAAATCATCAACAGTATTCTCGTTTTAATCTCAATCAGTAACAATTTAGATGATCTATTTACCAACCTATTACCTATTATCATTTTCTGCCTCTATATCATCATTTTTAACATTGTTTTCTTCTTTAGGAATCTCTTCTACAACTTGGTCTTCACTGTTTGATACTTTACTTCTTTTCGACGTATCTTCATCAACAGATTCAGAACTTAATTTCCTTTTAGAAGTTTTAATTTCAACAATTTTCAATTCCTGAGAATTTTCATCTAACATTTGGGAAGTGGTTTGTAATGATTGAGATGAAATGTGTGATTCTTGAGTAATCACTTTTCCAGAATGGTCTATAAAAGAACTATCCTGTGAAATTTTGGGAATGAAGTCAATATGAGTAGTTTCTTGTGGTGCATTAGATGTCTCTACCCTATCAATAGCTGATGAATCAACAGACGAGCTTAAGGTTTCTGAGGACTTAAGAGGATGAGAAGATTTTCCATCTGGAATTATTATATCCTCTTGACAATTATTTAAACTATTGGAAATATTTTCCAATTCTACATGCTGGTTAACTGTTTCATCAGTTTTGTCACAATCTATGGTTTTATTGGCAGTCTCAATAACACAAACAGTGACAAAAGTTGGTTTGGTAGGCCTATGTGGTTCTGGCACTTCTGGAGATTCATTGCTAGCTCCCTGAGGTTGTAAATCAGCTAAACATGTATCTATATTACCCAATAAACATTGTGTATCAATGATACTCCTATCTCCAATTGGATCATTATTACTTTCATCCATTTTGTCAGCTGCAACTGAGACTTCTAAAAGTAAATAGTTAGTTGACGAATGGAATTATAGGTTTGTAAAAAACAGACACCGTATTTCTCCATAAAGATTACGAACATTTACATATAATATTGTATATTTAGAAGGGCAGAATACGATACAGTTAATTAATGACCTTTTGCATTAAATATAAAAATGAAAACATATAAATATGTGATTTCCTCAAAAAATGCTACAAACAGTTATTGTTGGTAGCCTAAAGTTTTGGATCATAAAACTCAATGCAAACGAATAACAGTTTCGATGATCTTTATATGGTCCAAAATTTCAGAACAACTACCGTAGTACAAATTTAGGTGCTAAAAACAAAAAAACAATAAAAATATTGTTGTGAATTTATCTATATTGAGTAGATTTGAAAAATATTTAAGTTTCATTTCTTAACTTTAGCCAAAATTCATCGATGTAAACAAAGATGGCGGTGCCCATGGAGAACGTGTTGTCTGCTTTGATTCCAATTTATTTTGAAGATTCTAGCTCTCTTGAACATGTTCCAAACATTATCGGGTTTACAGATGATCACCAGTTATTTTCTTTGCAGGTTTGTGTAATATTCATGTTCATCAGAAATTTTAGCACATTATATTACTCAAGATTCAATATCACGTATTCCGAAACATCTGCCTTAACTCCAGCCTCTGATAGTGATACTTGATAGTTATCGACTGAAGTAGGGTCAAATTTTAAACATATTTGAATCCACAACCCCAAGACAATGAATGAAAATATAAAACTTGGGAGGTTTTTAATGTAATACAAACTCTAAGAATTTTCAACTAAACCAAAATATCTAAATTTTTAAATGGAAATTGCCCATGCCCATGTCTAAATTTTATCACCATACAGTCATAAATTTGAAAAAGATTAGATGGTAAAATTTTATTTACTGTCATAGTCGCCAATTACTTCTATTAAAGAAGATTCAGATTTAAACATGTAACATATTTCTACTTTGTTAAATACTATTTAAATTTGTTTTTCTCTTTAGAAAACTAGCTCTCTTCATCCAGTTATTAGTCATGTTCATAATTGTTTGAATTCTTCTAATAAAAGGTGAGAGTCTTATTTATTTTACATCTTGTTAGAACAACTATGTAAAGAGGTTGATAATGACATTTAAAATGTTTCTTCACTAATATTATTTTAAGTTGGACATTTTGTTAAAATCATCACTAACTATTTGTAGATTGGAAGGGTTATTGCTACTAGAGACGTTAGTAAAACAGTCATCAACATTAGTGTTTACAGATAATATCTACACCTGGATTAAACTTTTACTACAAATATTAAAGGTAATTATTGCTAAATATAGATTTCTTTGCTTGATTAAATTATTTTTTGGGGACAGCAATCTTGAAGACTTAAAATGTGGTGATGAAAAAGAAAATTATTAGGTTTTCAGCATGCAGTTGAAAATTTTATTTGAATGGAGAAATGAGAGAAAAAATTAGATTCTACTACGCTCAGTGAAGAGAACATTTAAAGAAGTTCAGGAATTCAATTTAAATTTTTTGTGTTTCAGTCTCCAGGAGAAACCACTTTCCACCAACAGTCCTGTAAAATATTATCAATGATAATTAAATCATCAACATCATTTAGTGAAATAAGTCGAGAAATATCAACTAATATTATACCCCAGTTATTACCAGTTCTCTTATATTCTCAACCATTGGTATGTATTATGATTGAAAATGCATTGTTCAAGTTAACAAAATTATTGATTAAACAGGTTTTGAAGACTTTCAGTTTCAAATGGTTACTCTCAAATTTTATCCATGAATATTTCAGTTTAGAGAGGAAGCTATAAGTTGTATTAAAGTTTGTGCTGAATCTTATCCAGGTCCAACTGGTAGTTTCAGGGTGAGTAAATGCTGCAATAACATTGACATTTATGCAGATATGAGCAAAGCAAGCAAACTTATTACAGAAAAACAAACTGCAGGAAATTTCTTAAATATGATTAAATTGACAATAGCTCATTTTAATGCTGTTATATTTGGTATTAAATGTATCACAATATCATTCTCAACATTTGTTAATATTTCAGAGTAAAATAGAGAAAATATTATTAATCGATCTACAAAGTGAAGTTCCTAAAACTGATTCCCCATCATGTCTAGCTATACTAGGTATCTGTGGGGGTGGGGGTAAAAATAGAATTAAACATACAGAAGGATGGTCTATACAGTTTACTAAAATATATTCCACTTTGAATAATACCATATCAATGTTATATCAGCCGCTTAATACTGGTAGGATATATTTTAACCTTCATGCTTACATTCATTGTTCTTATATCAAGTTTGAAAATACAATCCTAAATTTAATAGCTATGTGAACTCTTGACTTCACCATCCCGATCACGGTGATTTTAAAGATGGAATGTGCAATAATTGGATTCCCACAAACTCAAGAGTACATGACTTATTCATTAGATAAAACAAATTTTAATTTGACCAAGATCAGTACTACTGCCCATCTCTAAGTAATAGATTAAAATAGGGACAATTTTTTTCTGTATGATTTGGTGTTTAAGTGATTTGTAAAATAATTGTTTTACAGATGAACAATACAAGGAAAGTAATGATGGTTTTCAACTGAATATATTACCAGAAACATTATCTGAGAGAAACCATATATTATTACATAGGTTATCAATATTTACACAGGTTTTATCTTCATTATTAACGTACGTATTTCCTTCTTCTGCTACCTCTTTTTAAAAGACCTAGGTCAAGGGAGTCTTCTAGTTAAACTGGAAGTCTAGGGTTGGATTTGAACTATGGCGGATAAAGCAGATTTTTTTTTGCAGTTGTCAATAATGTAGTTTTAAGGGTCTGTAATAATTTCAGTCAGTCTGTTAAACCAAAGACTCATGTGTGTACTATAAGCTGTTCATGTAAAGAAATAAATTGAAATGGTGAATTGATGATGCCGCTTCTTTCAAATTTTATTATAAAATTTTGCATTTACAATTAATAGCACATGATAGTTAATATTTCTGCATCCAAGTATATTTTCTATAAATAGGCTAAATATTATGTTGTGTAATATAAATCCTATGTCTGATTACTTATAGAGAAGATATGACAGCAGTAGCTAAAGTACCTGTAGAAGATATCTTAAGATTTATTTGTCAATGTTTAGAAGTTAAAGGCAATATTTTGGTATGAATGAATTTTTTTTCACAAAAAATCCCACAATCAGTGCATGTGATACTTTAGTTTCATATATATCCAGTTAAACTTGTAAAGAGAAAATGATGACTTTCTTCAAATAAATTTGGAAATTCTGTAAACACATACAATTTTTTTTGTTAATTTCAGTTAAGAAGACCGACTACAGATAATTTAGTATTATTATCTATTTTACCAACAATACATAGAACCAGTTTAACTTTGTTACATAACTTAATTGTCAGGTAAGTCCTTCTGATATTTAAATGAAATCATAGTAAAATACAATCATTGCACATGAGTTCATGTTATACAGAAAGAACTACTATGTTTTACTTTTACATTGAGTTGAGACTTTGGTAGAAGTGACAAAAATTATATATTATAACACACTAGAGGTCAACATGAAAAAGTTTTCTGCTGAACTCAAATTATACAGATCTTGAATATTATTTATTTATTTTTAGTTGTGGAAATATTTTGATACCATTTTCATCAACTATAAATAAATTACTGATAGAAAGTTTAGTTTGGACTAATAATAAAACACAATATGGTCAACAGAAACGTTACAGGTATACATTATTTTTCAATAATCTCAATATCCATTGCATTTTGAAGATGATGGCATTATGTTGGCTCTTGTAGAATCTTATTTAGATTATATGTAGCTGTTGTACAGCTGGGTTGATTTGTATAATCAGGAAAGATAACTTATTCAAATCATCATATTTCGACCAGCTAAAGAACATCACAATACAACACTATAATGAATTTAGCTACACTCTTAGTCTAAACTTACATTTTGTAACTTCACAGATTAATGAAAATCTGTCAGTAAAATAAACTTTGATTGGTATTATTTGTAGTACATTAAGAAATGAAGTATATCAAACTATGTGTATATGGTTAAAGAAACTAGGTGCAGCCTGTAATATTGTAGAAGAAGAGAAAGATTTAATTCGAGAGTTGATTCATGATATAACACCACCTATAGATGTTATAAAGGTATTATCACTTATGTTTGATACCTTTATCTTCTTTGAGCATTAGTTGATTAAAGGTTAAAGCCAACACTAGGTCATCGCTGAAGCACATGCACAGGCATCAGAATTTATCTAATCTTCAGAAATTAAAAACAACAGCATCTAAGATGTCTTAATTAGAAATGAGTTCTTAATTTATGAATATTGCATTGAAAAATTTTCATTAATGTATGTTTTACTCAATTTATAAGGGTTCGGAGCAGTAGAATGTAAAACTACTTACATTATTTTCTATTGATAAATCTTTTAAGGATAATCAGGTATTTGTTTCATTTGTATTTTAGCTATCTTCTACTGGTGTACATAATGGTTTTGAACCTCCTAAAAAGAAGAAAAAAAATATGGGATATCAAGATTTAACACAGAGCATGTCATCTTATAGGAAAATAGACACCTCTGCTAATTCTGATCTGACATCAACTTGTTTGAAAGGTAGGTTCAGAAATATTTTGATTGATACAATCATATTTATTTTCCAGTGGTACTTTGCATATCGCTCAAAAGGTTTTGAAAACAGCTTGTAGGAATCAGTTCTAATATTTTTAAATTTAAATCTTTTACATTTTTTTTTTATCTATAAACATAGGGATCAATTTCTAGGTAATCTTGACATTTTTTTCAGCCTTACAGTTGTTTGTATTTTACTTTGGTTCATCTTTAAAATCTAAATCATATAAGGTAAGATATTAGACATCTTACTATGAGAAAAGACTTCAGATATCTTGGATTGTCAATGCTTGTCATATTTTTATTTTCGTTGATTGTATAATAGTGGAACAAAGATATTTATGTAAATCTAGATATGTTATGGTATTTCTGAATGTAGACAAGAGCAGTTTTATTGTTTTTATATATAAGGCAATGTAAGCTTATTAAGCCCAAAAGATAAAAATGAATCATCCTTTGATGTACATAAATCTCGATTCTTCCATGGTGAAATTGATTTAATATGAAATTATATTTTGTTTACTTGCTTAATGTCCTGTAGAGTATAGTTGGGCAAAAAGCAATTTTAGGGCACATTTTGGGTCTATTTAAAACATAATTATGAGCTGTTCACTAAGTAGTAGCTTGTATCAGGTGTCTCCAAAAAAACATCTAAAGTTAAACAGGTAGTATCTTTGTTGGAAGACTGTTGGTAGACTGATCTCTTTCAAAATTCTCACAGATAGACTTCAAGATGTCGTTGTCCAACTCTGAAAATATGAAATTCATGGAATAAAAATTGTTTAAGTACTGCCCCAAACAAAATAACATGTCAAAAAATACAATATGAAGGCAACTAACCTATTTCAACCTGTGTCCTCCCCTCCATCTCCTTCTGAAATAATGGTCAGAATGGTTGATAGACTTGCATAACAATCTTTGCTGAGCAATAATTTAGAAAATAGCAAGAAAAAGGAAGGTATTCTATACATAATACAAGTATAAAATATTGTTATTTGTAGGATATTGGTGAAACAGTTATAAGTATTATACTAGATATACAGTGTTCTCATGATAATTTACCAATACCTTATCATGATGTATTGTGTCGTAAAAGATTATATGGTGTATTAAAATCTTGTATTATGTCACCACATTCTAATACACCATCCTTATTACAATGTGCTGTTAAAATATTTGCTGTTGGACAGAGAGATATGAGTATAAAGGTAAAAAAAATTGTTTGTTTGCTTGTTTTTCAGATCACTTAAATGGGAAGTGTTTTGAATGAAGTAGTGAATGCTATTATCTTGTTATCATATTCATTTTGTGACCTTGTTGATATTAAACTTAACCTGAAAACTCCAGATTTCAATTTTGAATTTCGTCAATTTCGAATTTATTATGAATACACACTTTGTGGAGGTCTGAAGAGAATCCTAAGTTTTCACATTTCAATTTAAACTAATATATATATGTGTAATGTATTTCAGGTTTCCACATTTTGTAAAGAATGTTCAGCTATATGTGAATGTTTATATCATCCAAGAGCTCCTTGTATCATGGGACCAAATATAGCTACATCAACACTTAACTTTGATAGACAAGTTCAGCAGAACACTGAGGATTCATCATCAACAGATGTTACACCATTCATCAAGGTGGACAAACAGCAATCTGTCAAACGTTTATCTCTCTCTCGTTCTCAAATAGAACGCACATCATTAGGGCCAGTAGAAGAACAAGTTGTTATGATGGAAACTGTAGTGAAGGAATCAATTATAGAAGGGAATTTAGAGTCTGATAATGATGACAATAATGATGATGATGATGAAGAAGATTTGGAAGAACTAGAGGTAGATCCAGCTGATGATATGAAGTCCAGTTTGTCACTACCTACAGAGATTCAATTGAACTCATCTACTGTAGTTATTGAAACTGAGACAACAGTTAAAACTCAGTCCTCAGAAGAGAAAAAAGATTCATTAAAGTCAGCAACAATATCAACTTCTCAACAGGTTAGTCAGTTTATTATTTGATCAAATATTAATAGTAACTGTTAGAGCATCAGAGCACTAGTGGGTATTGAAAATAAAGTATCAAGTATTGATAGTACCCATAAACTGTTTTTGAACGTCAATGATTACAGGGAATATTTTGTCTTGTCTACTTTAAGAGTAAAGATGTAGATGATATGGTGATGTGTTTTGTTGATGCTGACCCAGATGAAAAAGAATAAAATAAATATACAATTTTCTTTTGTGATTTATTATTACTAGTTGCCATCTTACTGTCCTCGGTAATCCATAATACTTCACTAAATAAAACTGCCAAACCATTAAGACTATGTTTAGGACCAAAAAAGCAGTGCTTTTATTAATTAATACAAAACTGAACCATTAATGAGTCAATCAATATATTGCCCGATATTCTACAATGTCCCTATGTCCCTCACTGGTCTTTAATGGACTCATTAATGTTTCATAGATACCAAAATCTATACAAAATTTGGATATTAAATGGTGAAAATTCTTAAAGGGGACTGGAGCAACTCCATTAAGTAGGATATTTTATGTCTGGCTATAATATATAAACGCGCCGATATTCCCTCCGTATATCACGTCTGAGGAACGGTTAAGGCCACATGTATTGGGCTACTGTTCGCTGAGCTGAACCATACGGAATTATTGTGTTAACAAACTAGCAGACAGGTTGCACAATGATAGTTTTGGAGTTTTTAATTGAACTGTTAAATTAGCAGAAGGTATTTTCAAGAAAATATATAGCTATTGAATTCCCAACCATCTATAAATTCTCTCTGAAATTAGTCCTGCAGGCACATATAGTAACTAGGATAGACACGCAAAGTATGAAAAACTTTTAGTGTAAACATACCATAGCCTCTGACATTTGAACTGTTTTTGCGCAAATTCCAATGCTGGTAATTCTTAATTACCACTGAAACTTTGATGAAATGAAAAATGAAATGGACGGGCAACACCACCGTGCAATGAGTAAAATGGAAATTAGTCTACTCTTTCGATTTCCAGATGCGAGGGATCTTTATCTTTAACGTGCACAGCTCGTAGCATACGGGGTCTCGGTTTATTGTCCCATCCGAACGACTAGACGCTCTTTCCATTCCATCCCCTCCAACCTGCATCACTGACGGGGGTAAACTGGGTTGAAAATCGAATATAGTATCTCGACCTATATCGGGATTTAATCAGTGAGACTCCCCCATTACTTTGATAAATACTACTCATCAATATTGGAAATATTCAATAGGCACCATTCCTGCATTCAAGTGAAAATAAAATCAAACATTAAAACAATCCAACAATAACTGTATGTTATATGAGCGCGAAATGGCACCTATCCAATATGAATGAGTGCAAATCTGAAAATCGGTGATAAATTGTCTAATCATCACAAAAATCGATATGCAACATTCTTGCACAAACACACAAAATGTGTTGCCTTTAGGGTAAGCACGAGATAATTGTGTACAAACGGATGAATTGACGGATAGTCCTACGGATAATATACGCCTTTAATTTTTAACATCAAAAACCATACCAAAAACAAAGTTGATGTGAAAATGTCTGGAGCATTGGATTGTTCGTGATCTTAATATCGTGATCTATATTAATGATTCCTATGATAATACAATGTTCTGGGGTACATATTATATTATTTTGTCGGTGTGAAAATGCCCTGGGAAAAGCTTAATTAAAGTTATAAAGGAGTGGGGAAAAAAAGTTGAAAGGGATTAACATGATATGAAGGGTATTAGGATGCTACTGTTATGGTTTTAACTTCCAAATGTCTCTATGTGACTTTTAACATAACCTTTATGAAACCTTGCAAATGGTATTTATAAACGTTTTTACGTCGATCCAAAACTGCGTGAAGATATTCTGAATATTTAGTGTGATCACCACGGTCATGGTAGTAGCTGGTATGACAAGGCGATATAAAAGGTAATTTTTGAAATTGTTCATCATAGTATATTTGGATATTGAACATACTTTGACAGGTAATGTGTTCTTGTCTTTCTACATGTAAACATTGTATTTATTTATGTATTTATATCACATCCATGGAATATATTTATTGTCAGCAAATATTATTGCGAGAGCCAGAAATATACATTTTGACAGAAAGAATAATAATAACAACTTTTTTTATCAGTCTGCTCGAACAGAATTTTAAGTGAAAAAATTAAAATTTTAAACCCTAGTTCTTACCACTGATAATTCTGGAATACCCTCCATGAAAATCAGTTTGTCTACATGAGTAATTATTTGCTAGAAATCAGTGGCTGAGGGGTTCTCCCTCAAGAAAATCTTTGAAAATACAATTGGTTCACTCTAATGCATATCTTCATAATAATGTATTAGTATTATCTTTAAATTTATAAAGATAGCCTCGCGAAGCAAGTGGCATACGCCCACCAGCAGCTTTGAGTACAAATCAGTTGTAGCCTGTACAGTGAACATGAGCCAATTATGAACAGACGGATGACAATAGGCTTCCATACTACGCGTGGGCATATATAAAATCCTAAGAATCCATAAAGAATTGTTGCTTGAAGAGTGAGCAAAAGTTGCACTATATGGCTAAAAGTGCGAATACACTATGTTGAAAACGACATTTTGGTGAAAAAATCTATAGGGATTATCTTCATAATGACCCATAAAATAAAAATCGAAAGAATCTGTAAAAAATTGTAGCCTGTAGAGTGAGCACGAGTTGCACTATAAAGCTAATAGAGTGAAAACGTTAAGTCGGACACGATATTTCGGTGAAAAATTATCAGATCATCACGAAAATCTATAGGAATCATCCTCCTAATGACATTGACCCACAAAATAAAAATCGAAAGAATCCATAATGAATTGTTGCCTGTAGAGTGAGCACGAGTTGCTCATATAAATAATAGAGTGAAGTCGGACACGATATTTTGGTGAAAAGTTATCAGATTATCAAGAAAATCAATATGGATCATCTTCCGACGGACGGCTAGGGGGATTATAGTATACACCCAAAATATATTGTGGGCGTATAAAAATGAATTGGGGATACAATAAGGGATACAAACCATTTAAGGAGGGGTTGGAAGCAAGTCAATACGTGTCATATTGCCTCTATAAATGACATTGCCAGATGATTTTTCAGAAGTAAAAGTAAACATTCTCGGCCTGGTAGTAAAGCTGTGGAAAGTCGGTAATGCATTTGAGGCCAATCCTTGTAGTCTAGAAAGAGATTTTACTCAAAGTCAACTTTTTGGGCTTTACTGTTTCAGTTTGATTTTATGTTGTAGGCAGTTAAAATGTCTGGTTTATTTTATGGTGTAGTACTTGGTATTATAGTGGCTGTGCTGTCAGCGCCAAGAGAACGAAGACAAGGTATGGTATTATTTTAACATTAAAGTTTATCCCCATTATATAATATCAAAAGCTTATCACCATTATATAACATCACGAGATTCACACCATATAACATTAAAAGTTTACCATCATGATATAATATTAAACGAGATTAAAACCATCTTATAATATCAAGAGATTAACACCATTATATGATATCAAAAGCTTAACACCATTATATGATATCAAAAGCTTAACAACATTATATAATATCAAAAGCTTAACAACATTATATAATATCAAAAGCTTTACAACATTATAATATAAACAGTTTACCAGCATGATATAATAGCAAGGGATTAACAGTATTTTATAATATCAAGAGTTTAACTCCATTTTATGGTATCAACAATTCAACACCATTATATACATGTAATATCAAAAGCTTAATACCATTATATAACATCACGAGATTCACACCATATAACATCAAAAGTTTACCATCATGATATAATAGCACGAGATTAAAACCATTTTATAATATCAAGAGATTAACACCATCATGTAATATCAAAAGCTTAATACCATTATATAACATCACGAGTTTCACACCATATAACATCAACAGTTTACTACCATCATGATAAAAGCAAGAGTTTAACACAATTTAATAATATCAAGAGCTTAATACCATTATATATCAACAGTTTACCATCATGATATTATGTTGAACATTATTGTATTATATCAAGAGATTATCAACACCATTATATAACATTAAGAGAATCACACCATATAACATCAACTGATCACCATCATGATAAAAGCAAAAGTTTAACACAATTTTATAATATCAAATCAAGAACTTAATTCTATTGTATTATATCAATAGTTAACACCATTTTATATTATCAACAGTTTTACACCATTATATATTAATAATATCAATAGTTACCACCGATGGCCTATACCAAGTCCCGATATCACATCTGTATATCAAGTCTCGGTAGGGCCGAGTTGTTGATCTAACATTTTTTCTCTTTAATTCTAGCTCAGGATCCACGATGTGCAGGACCAACTGGAAATTTTGGAATTAACTGTACTTCATTTGTCAGTTGTTTTGAGGGTTATGTTTTTGGTACTTTTACTTGTGGCAGTGAAAATGGACAGTTGAAATTTAATCCCAACACGGGTGCATGTGACTGGGCTACCGCAGTGAATTGTGAAGTTCAACCAAGTAAGTATTATATTATATAAACAGTTGTGAAGTTTTTTTAGGGCTGTTTGCTTACTCTTTCTAACTGAAAATGGACTTTTCTGCTTAGTTGGCGTATCCATTGACCATTCTTAACCTTCATATTATTTTATGTTTTTTTTATCCATTTAGAGTTTGAAGGAGACCAGGCTTGTACACAGATTCCACCAGGATTTGAAGAGTTTGCTTACTTTGTCTCTCATCCTCAGTTCTGCAACATGTATTTCGTCTGTGATCATGGTAACTATAGAGGTACAAGAAACTGTAACCAAGGTCAAATATTCAGCGAGATTAACGGCACTTGTATCGTAGGTGGACAAGATATGTGTAACAAACCACTCCTCCCTTATGAAAATTTGCATTAAGGTCCATGCCTTTAATTTTGTCCCTCTAATATCTCACGCATCATGCATTAGACTTGTTGTTTTGTCCGCTGTTATTTGTTTTCTTTTTTGTTTATATTAACGTGTTTTGTCATAATTTAGTGTTCGCATGGGGCTCAGTTCATTACTTTTATATTTATACAACTAACTTTTTTCTTTTCTAATATGCATAGATTCAGTTTCATTTGACATTCTACCCTATAATTTCCCCCTAATGTGTTGAAATAACCAAAATTACAAATTTGAAACATTGTAATCCATCCCACTTTTGAAGATTCTGGTCTTGAAGTAATAGGTTTCTGTTCGCAGTGTTGAATAATATAGTAATACAAGCATTTATAGGTGGTCATGAGCAGTTAGACATGAAAAATAATTGGATGTTCAAACAACATTTGGTCTAATGGAAGGATGCTATTTTATATAAAAATTTACAAATTCTTTAACTGTTTATGACCATGCTAAACAACTGATTTCATTCATTTTAGATTTATCTGTGTAATGGCTTGTTTTATTATTTATAGCTTTTTAAAAAATATTTACTCAAAACAGTAGACTAATGTTTAGTATAGACCGAGAGGCAAAGGCAGTTTGGTCAAACGTACTTGGTACCAATTGCGGAATGATCGGGCATTAAAGATTTGGGCGACTTCCCAAACTGACCTAGATAAAACATGACTCTTAGTACATGTTTCTTGCAAGATAACCAAAAAAGGGCCTATCATTTGGACTAGATTAAAGAGTTGCAATTTGCCGCCCGACTACCTCATGGTTGTCAAAGCCTGTGCAATGTATGGAGTAACACAGCATAATCTAAAATGCCTTCAATTGCTGTGTGCCTTTCAAGATGATAAAAGTGGGGTATTATAGTATTTATAATAACCAATTACACCAGACATGTATTGCAATCATTGGAAAGGGTTGATCCATATTGCAATCATTAGAAAGGGTTGATCCATATTGCAACCATGGGAAAGGGTTGATCCATATTGCAATCATGGGAAAGGGTTGATCCATATTGCAATCATTAGAAAGGGTTGATCCATATTGCAACCATGGGAAAGGGTTGATCCATATTGCAATCATTAGAAAGGGTTGATCCATATTGCAATCATTAGAAAGGGTTGATCCATATTGCAATCATTAGAAAGGGTTGATCCATATTGCAATCATTAGAAAGGGTTGATCCATATTGCAATCATTAGAAAGGGTTGATCCATATTGCAATCATTAGAAAGGGTTGATCCATATTGCAACCATGGGAAAGGGTTGATCCATATTGCAACCATGGGAAAGGGTTGATCCATATTGCAATCATTAGAAAGGGTTGATCCATATTGCAATCATTAGAAAGGGTTGATCCATATTGCAATCATTAGAAAGGGTTGATCCATATTGCAATCATGGGAAAGGGTTGATCCATATTGCAATCATTGGAAAGGGCTGATTCATATTGCAATCATTGGACAGGGTTGATCCATATTGCAATCATGGGAAAGGGTTGATCCATATTGCAATCATTGGAAAGGGCTGATCCATATTGCAATCATTGGACAGGGTTGATCCATATATTACAATCATTGGAAAGGGTTGATGCATATTGTAATCATTGGAAACACATTAAGTCATGAGAGCTCTAAACAGCTTCCCTTGACTAAAGCACAATGTGCGATTGTGACTCTATCAATTTTCTGTGCTCCGTGAGAGTATACCTGAAACGAGTACCTTATACATAAACACATCATTAGTAGTGAAGCATCAGCAAAAACCCATCAAGTCTTGAGAGCTCTAGTCCACGTATCGTGACTGCAACAGTCAAAGGAAAACTTAAGCACACACAAATACAGCAATACCACATATTATCATCTCAGTCTTACAAGCTTTCCATGTATCTAAAGTCACACACGTCTAGACACACGTCAAAGAATACCGAACCAAGGCTGATCCGAACAGACATGTAATTTAAGTATGGAATGTCCTGTTGATGCGTGTTAGGTGTTGAGTCAACACGAACAGTTCGTTGTGCCAGGATTGAGTAAATGCCCGAGTGTTGGGTCAATAAATGTTAGACAAGGTGGTAGTCGTAGCTATTAATTAGTGTTCGGTAAGGCATCGTCTGATAATTATTCATACATCAACGATGTAGGTATTACTTATACCCTCTTTAACTCGAATCTCGAACGATTATAAAGTTAGCCCTAGCCATACCAAGTTTCAATACAATCCGTACTCAGAAACCAAAGGAAATAATTTCCGCAAACCTATTATGAATATTAATCCTAAACTCTAAAGGAAACTTTACACAAATCTAAATCAAACAGGAAGTGCAAAGGATAGCTACATCAGAACAAGCATAATTGTCAGATGATGAATGACCTATAGTGGAATATCCCAGTCGATAGCGAGTTTGATTGTCAACTGCTGGGCGATTAGGTGCCGTGGGTTCGATTCCTACTCAAGGTAAGAAAAATTCGGATGCGTGTGCCAGTCTTTGCGAGAGTCCACCTCGGAGCCGGCTCTCACACCCTAATACCAATTCATAGCCATGTTTGACATGTATAGACCGACCACCAAGGGATTTACTCAATACACGCACCATGGACGCCTATCACGAGCCAATAAGTAACTACAGGATTGCTCAACCAATCGGTCACTTAGTTGACCCATGAAAAACCAATTCAGCAAGGCCTTTTAAAGTTCGACTCATGAAGCTGATCGTCTATACTTACTGTCTTCAGGAACAGAACAGGGGACATCAGAAAATCCAGTTCACGGGCGAAGCTTAAAGCTCATGCAGCTGACATGCATGCATCTACCATATGGACAGGGAAAAACCAATTATTCTTCAGCCATCTGATTACAAACCTATTAAATGTAGATAAAAATGCCTACATTTTCTTGATATTCAAGACTAGAAACCAATAACTAGAGTCATCCATCCTTTCAAAGCAAATTTGATTTTGAATATTAAGTCTATATTATGGATTAGAAATTTGAAAAAGATATTCTGTAGGAATCTTGTTACAGAATATGATATAATAATATTTCTTTTGTTAATTTTATTGTTTTATTGGCTGAAAATACGAAGAAAATCTTTGAGCATCAAAAGGACTTGAAGTAAAATATTTGGTTTGGACAATGAAGCGTTGCATTCATATTTCGATAAACAGAATAGTCAACATTTCAAGGAACCAATTTCAAATCAAAGACACGTATCCATTGATAATATTAGCAACATAGAGGTTGAAGTAAAACCCGGTACATTGTAGGTACAGTGGGGTTGTTGACAACTAGACCACATCTGTTCTAAAAAAAAAGGTTAAAGAAAACATACACTGACGATTGGCTCAACTATCAGTCAATATTGCATTTATTTGAAGATCAATCCATTTAACCACAATCGTTGGTAAGTTTAAAGATTTGTTCCTTTTGTGGATCATAAAATAAAACATTTTAAACTAAATATCAGTAGCAGTGTGAGGTAGTGTTTGTTATAATATCATAAATTCCTTGTTACCAACCTGTGTTACCAATTTCAAAATATGGGCTACTCGTAGAGAATATCAGAGATCACAATTTCGAAAGGACTGCTGTATGTAAGTCTTTCAGACATCTTTATGGACTGCACCCCTTGGTTTCTGCAAACCCCTCATCGAACAATGTCAGATCTTTATTCCGCTTTTCTTGCCAAGGAACAAAGGAAATAGAAGTATCGGAGGGAGTGATTACGCTCAAGAGATAAAACTTGAATCTAAAATTAATTTATTATTTCTACAAATATCTACATAATAGTTACCAGAACATAAAGAAATACTGAACATCAAATGGCACATCATATAACAGTTTGAAAAAGGCACTTTAAATCCATGAGCTTGAAAAGTTTATCTAAAAGACTCAACTAAAACATGAAACTCATATTTAACTAAGCCCTACAAAATGATCCTGTAGTAAAGAATATTTTTGATTAAGTATAAAGTTTGAATTAACATTTTCTGAGCTAATAATCCTAGAATTCAGACTTCAGATATGTTGTGAATAAAACACTGTAGGCAAATTACATGTCCAGTTTGTCTTATTGTCGCGTTACTTGACGTTTTAAATTGATCGTGCTAATCTGAAAAATCCAACAATGCTTTTTCCAGAATAACTGGTTTCTTTAGAGTAGAAATTTATAAACAACTGTCCTCAGTAACATGGACATTTTCAGTTTAACGATTTGCATGAAAAGTCTAGGCATATTCTGAGAAACATCTGCGAATGAGCCCGTCAGAGAAATATCACTTTGGATATCACAGGGTTGCCTTTAACACTGTATAAAGCAGGCGTTTATTGATGGCATTCATGTTCCTTTCATTATATTGATGGTTCCCACACTCCTTAACACAATTGATATAGATTACCATAAACATTGATGAACATTCTTAGTGATCTTCCACACATTTAGTTGGTCCTTAGAATATCTTTCGACAAATAAGTCTTTAATGTTTTTTAAATATTTGATAAATACTTATTCGTCCATTTTTTCTGGTGTGGAAAATTCTTCAATTATAGGTACAGAGCAGACATTTATGCCATTTTAGAAGAAGATTCCGTCCCAATCCGTATTTTCTTCTTATATATGACGTTCTTATACGTTATTTTCTTTATATAGTGATTCATACATTTATAAGTGTTCATATTTATATACATGTATCTATATTTTGTTTTTCTAAAACATTCTATGACTGTCATTGAGGAATTTGAGGGGGTGCATAAGGATGATGCATTACCGAATTATATTCATGGGCCTTAAGGCGCAAACAGGCTATACTAGAACCGACGTTTGGTGGAGGCGTGTATGACTGATTAGCCAATGAACAACTAGAAGGGGGAGCAGACGTGTTGTATGAAGGGGGCGCTGACCAGGCCAGATAATCTGTATTCATTGGTGCATGACGTGGTGTCATAGGTTGTTCAATAGGTGTCGCTTCCGGACTTCTACCATATACATTTTGTCTCTGTGACATCATATTGCGTTCATTTCGTCTAAACTTTGCTCTTCTATTCTGAAACCAAACCTGCAAAGTAGAATAAATATTACTGTTAACCACATATTATAATCCATAATCGACCATTTTGCACAGTTTCAACAGGCTAACAAAAAAGATTTATTTCACTGATTGACAGCATTTCACTTGGTATTTAGAGTCTGGGCTGAATATTTGAGACCCAAGCTTGTGCCCATTCTTCAGGCTACAGTTCTTGACATAATATATGTTTGTATCAAGTTAAGGGCGATGATAATTATTACAAACGATGCCGTATTTATCTTTTGCTAGGACTTCCAGAAGTTATTTGTAATAAGCTTTCACGTGGGTGTATTCCACTCTTTGCATGTTTAAATTGTTCTCTGATCATACTAAAACACTATTATAACAGTTTACTGTTGCAGTCTTCGATCGCACCACCTTACTGAACTCTCTTTCTTTCTTTTGTATGTCATTCAAAATGTGATTGGGGTTTGCTTCCCTTGAATTGTGTTTAATTTAAATACTTATATGTTGACCAATATTACCTCCCTTAATAAATATATTTTTAATTTCGGTTGTCTATAGAAACACTTTGCTTGTATCAGGTTGTTAGTCTGCACCTTTTCTAAACGAACATCTGATTTGTTATTTACTTCTATCTCAATGATGAAAGATATATTTTATTCCATACTGATTTATTAATCTGTATATGGACAGGAGTGACTCTTTGTTTGGTCTTTCCGGTTATATAGGATACACTACAAACCAACAGCCAATCCTAATTGCAGGGAAGGATGGGTAACATAATATGGTTTATGTATGAATTCCATGTTGAAGATTATTCTACTGTACCATGTATTGCTCTATGGGCATTGAATTAAACTACCTGATGCTTACCTGAACTCTAGCTTCACTTAAACTAACGCGTCTGGCCAATTCTTCTCGAACAAATGCATCAGGATAATGTGTTCTTTCGAAAACTCTTTCTAGAGCTGCCAACTGGGTGCTGTTGAAAGTTGTTCTATTACGTCTCTGCTTTCGTCGTCTTTTCCCATCTGGATCATCTTTTCTATCGTCATCATCACCTACAACAGTCAAAGTACAGAATATTATAGCATGAAATATAACAATGTAGACCAAAGGACATGTTTCAAAGACTTAGTAGACCTAATAAACACAATTTCTTATAGTAGCTGCTAAAATATGACTATTACAGTCTTAAGTATTAAATACTTCTAATCAATATTTTGATCCAAATCTATATACTCAATGGTAGCTATGTTAGGTTCAGACTTAACTACATCACTGAACCGAGTAATTTGGGCGGCAATTTGGCGAGACCTGAAGATGTAAGCAGCCATAACAGAATGGCGTCTTAAATTGTTTGTTGTTGAAATGTTCAGTTTGATGATGAGGTTAACAACGTATCAGTATATTTCTACGTCTATCATTATGTTTGACATTTGGTGAATATAATTGGCCATGATATACTTTTAAACATAGACGTCAATGTGATGAATGACGGTATTTTACTGTAGAATTGGTTGCCGTCAATTTCGGGAATCTTGTGTCTGTTAATGCAAACGAAAGACCATTAGTTTTTCATCGCCCTGCTAGATGTTTACTTATCTTTATGATGATGTTTGAGTGATAAGTATTTGTTAAGGATCTGAATGAAGACTTTATCTGTATCTGTTGTCACAATTTCAGTCATAAAGTATTATTATTTTTTCAGTTTGTGCAAAACATTGCCCTGAGTTCTACGTGTTTAACAAAAATACTCACAAAGCAGTCGTTTTCTGTGATTATTTAAATTGATTAATTAAAATAAGTCGCATAACAGGAGTAAAGAATCAATGGCCAACGATATTGCTTAAAGTAAGCACTATAAAGCGGTGTAAAGGTATAATTAAAGCGCGACTTGAAACATATTTCTCTTTTAGAATATAAATAAACGTAAAAAAGGAGGCAATAAATTGTAACGTCGTCTAGTGAATGTACAGGTATTATAAATTTATTACAAGTAAGGCTAGAAGGTGATGTTCAGCTGTTTACAAAAATAACATATTAAGATACGATCAACTGCAATACAAATAAATATCTACTCTTTCTTATGGCTTTAACTCCAGTATGTTAGAAATAAATTGAGCTTAACGTTTTATTCTATCATTAAACCATAAATTGTTATCAAATTATAAATGTATAACGGTAAATTTTGTCGCTTTCCTGATATATAAAAATCCACCGAGACAGTTTGTACAATACACAATTAAAATATTTTTATAGAAGATATTAAACGAAAAATCTACATAGGATTGGAATTTTTGTATATCGTGGTGATTTATCATGCATAAATTTAATGTTTTTCATGGCATTGTGTTTTTTCCAAATGATTATTGGAAGTCTAAAATTCGGCAGCAACACATCCACACAGCAATTTGTATTATTTTTAGATTTTCTTAAATTCTTGTGTAAAAAATCCATATCCTGTTCATATAAAAATTAGATATTATTGAACAAATACGATTTACAGTGTATACAATTGTTTGACTTACTAAAAAGCACTTTAATTCTGTTTTAAGTTAATTGGCTGGAAAAGTACGTTCTACTATTCTGTGATATTAAAAAGTGAGTCCAGATATTGTGAATATTATTTAAAAATTGAGTGTTTATAAACTAGAAGATAATGGTAAAAATCAGTTCTTTGATCTAACAACTGATATTAAACTCTATGATCTAATCTTTTCAGTAAATGGATTTCTGAAGTTGATGTTTATAATAAAGAGATAACCTTTATGATATTTCCGTTCTTTAAAATACAACTTTCTTAAGGGATGAACATAGCCTCGCACGATGTTGAAAAATTTCTATAGCTTTCAAATGCACACATTTAAATTTCATTCAAGGGTGCAATTTGTATATAAACTAGTAACCAAAAAAGAATTATAAACATTTCCAACTAAAACAATACAACCAAGATTGGCTCATACAAAAAAAGAAAAAAAATTCACAAAAAGTATCGTGTACATGGTGACCATTTGAATCATCAACGTCCACTATTCAACATTATTGATAGATTTCTTTCATCGTTCACTCCAAATGTCAAATAAGGTTCAAGATTAATTACTGACCAATGGATTCACGTGCTGAAATATTGACAGCGAGCAATGTATGGGCACCAGGAGTTTGGGTACGCGAAGATGGACATGGAAATCCACAATTTATACTTGCGATTGGATTTATATTTGTACAATAGAGAAATCATAGTATCAATTAAATATATATATATATTTATGACGATAATTTCCTACTAAGCGTTTTCCGTTCTTTTGGTTATATTTTCGCAGTAAATCATGCCGAAATTTGACTTTATCAGGTAAACTGTTGAAGAGGCAATACCAACTGATAAATACATGCGATATAAGTCATAATTTACGACTGCCGATAAGAAGGCTACGGATGTTGAAAACTGTAGAAAAACCATTCCAGACCATTGAGACTATATGAAGGATAGTAGAAGGTACTTCACTTGACCATACCCACATAAAATGTTATTATTAATGAGCTGTAACTACCTGAGGGCTCTTATCGATAGCACGTCATCGTACCCTTTTCATCAGCTTCTTAAAAACAAGCACACGTCTGGTTACTTCCGGTGCAAGTTCAAGAACAATCATTGTTATTTGTAGGACAACAATCGGTGATTGCTATTCCTGTGTACATCAAAAAAGAGTGAATGAGATAATGCCTTGGTGATTACTTTGCTGCCGAATGCTGACCGAAACGTCTCAAAAGTCCTAATCTCTCTCTTCGGTGTATTTGAGAAATGGTTCAAATTATTATCCCAACATGTGTAACAAGTTGTAATTTCGGCTTGAAACTTGAAAGACACGCACTATTATGGAGTTCTTGTAGAACTTGCGCATGACTAGTAAGGGTAAACATAAAGGCACCTCATCTGTCAAAGATACATACCAGTATCAACAGACGAGACAACAAACTCAAACTGTCAGTTATTTTGCACTTAATATACCCCGGAACATTTAAAATTCTGTATCAATTTGGCCCCGGTAAAAAATGACCTGGTGGAAATATATTTGAGATAAGCGAGTCTTGTTGTTAAAACAGACATAATATATTAAATTTGTAAACTATGTCTTGATAAGACATTATGTAGACAGCAGAATGACTACAATAAAGATTACGATTATCACTCTGTCTATTTATTTTCATTCGGAAAAGTGCAGTTTTTGCCATTCTTTTGGCTGAAGATTAATGACATAATAACCACACGAATTTCCGCCGAAAACTATATGAAGCAGAGTGTATAAAGATTAAAGTATTATTGCCTTGAAATTTGAATACAAAAGTATCATAATCAAATTGATAATAAATGCTATTTCTGTCAAATAAGCAAACATAAATCTGAAAGATTAGAAGAATTTCTCAGTTTGATTAGGCATGGTGTTATATTCCAAAGCCCCCTATAAAAATTAAACTACAAATTGTTTTTACATTCATTTTGCTAAAAAATGAATATCAGTCACGTCGTCATGTTTACCAAAAAAGATGACAACTGTGGAATGGTGCTGGATTGAAATATATTTGTTCAATATAAGAAGAACCCTTAGGGCAACCATCCCATTTGGTTGCTTGATACTTAATACTGTAATTTAATTTGAATAGATTTTTTAAGTTCAGCTACAACTGTTTTAGATGAGTTTGAACTTAAACTTGGATTTTTAACATTACGACCTACTGAAATCGCTAACCTGAAGGTCCAGGGTTCAATCCCGGCATAGGTAGAGATAATACCTTCAGATTTTTCAACCCGGTTTCCCCGTCAGTGTTATAGGTAAGAGGGGCTGGCATGGAAAAAAACGTCTAGTCGCTCGGATGGGAAAATAAACCGAGGCACGTTAAAGATCCCCCGACAGTTGAAAATCGAAAAAGAGCAAGCTAATGCCACTGTCCTGGCAATATTTCCCTCATTGCACCCTACATGGCGTTGTCCGTCTTCATTTATAGCCCACATGGTGCAGAAAAGAAAGACGTATTATTCCATTCATTTAATTTTCATTTCATTTACGACCTACTGAAAACAAAGTGTACCCAATAATTCTAAGAACACTCTAGTTTGTAGGGTTGAATTACATTGTTACAAGTCTGAAAGTTTATTTTGTAACGCATCACTTACAAATTGAACCGGCTTATTCTACAGGGAATGGCGAGAATTTAACTTCTTTTGATAGAAAGTTGCGCTTCTGTTGCAGTTTGACAAGATAAGATGTAAAATCAACTGACAGCTTGAAGAAACAGAAAACCAGACTGAAAGTTGGAACGTGCAACAGAAAATCAGACGATTAGCCTCGTCATGGCAATAGCAGACGAAACTCACAACATCAACCGCCAACTTTCATGATGAGGAACGCACGAGACTAGAAGGCGTCGACATGACAGGAATATGTCGAAAAGTATTGACCTTTAACCTTGGCATGTGATATAGAAAGTAAAATAATGAGTATATATAATGTTGATTAGGTAATCGCCCGATGGGGTAACATTAATATTGTCTTTAATAGTTTGAAACTAATGTTACTCTTCCTGTAAGCTTCTTAAATAACCGACTTTCTCACTATTCTGTTGTTACCGACCATAAGTAGGCTTCAGCAAGGCATAATGGCTCATTATCGGCCCTTTTAAGGCTTTTGTGGGAGTGGATAAGGGTCAACTATTAGAGATCAATATTATTTAAAAGAAACTTAATATGTATGAAGTCATGACCCATCAAGTTAGGGGGAAATTGGGTATTGGAACCCCATGTTTGACGAAGTCTTTGCCAATCTTGCCTTTGCAAAAACAAACAATCATAGAACAGAACAATTTGAGATCGTATTAGTCTAGACGGAAAAACTCAACACTGAGAGTGAAATTCATACGAACCATTTCAGAAGACATTTGCCATTAATGAATACATTAAGATGAAGTGATGGCATCGTAGAAACATTTCTTGACATACATTAACTAAGAAATAGGGAAGATATTCGATGGTTTAACGAATTTCTTTTCCACTATTTAGTATTAT